CGGGAGAGTGCACTATTGAGGAACTTTTGTCAGTAGTTTTGGTAAGTGAACAAAACAGGAAGTATTTTTGAAACTTGAGGTTGTTTGCTCATAATGACCCAGCAGGTAGTTCACCCTTGGCAACGTGACCAATAGGGAGTTCATGATGGTCCTAACCCATGTGTGTCTGTGTTTAGCATTCAAGCAGGGACAGGCAAAAAGGGTTGCCAAATTGCATAAAGGTGTTGGATGCCGGGCCATTATAGCGACAACAAAAGCACCTGAGCCTGAAGGCAAAGCTCTCAATTTAGAAGTCGATTTACTGTCCAACCTTTAGCTATAGTCGCACGTTTGTGAAGTGACTGGAATGATGAGATTCAAGGATAAAAGCTGTTGAATTGAATTTATCCTGCAGGGTTGGAATCTGTGCTACCCCTCAGAGACAGGGTGAGGATCTTTGATATACATGACAAAAGTTGATGGACACTTTCTTGTGGAGGCTTTTTCTGGGCACAAACAGCAGTGTGCAGACCCCATGTAACCCACATTATACTTTATAGGGCTTATATTTTAGCACGTGGTAAAATGTCCTGAGATCCCAAAGCAGACAGTGGTTTGATCTGAACTGACAATACATCAAATGGATGGAGTTCTCAGGTTAAAACTATCCACCACCATCACTGTATGCCTGGCCATCTGCTTATTGCAGGCATTTTGCTGTAATGACTCTTCAGTCTCCTGAGCTGCGACCTCTGAAATGGTGAGGAGAGGAGAGCAATCAAAGCACATTCAGTTCTGCTACAGTCATTTGGCCACTCTCAAAAAGCTATCACTGGGTGCAGCTGTAAACATTTTGCTCCTCAGCACTCCTGAGACATGCAGTCAAAGAGGATAGCAGCTATCAGTCTCTTCCACATAGGAAGCCTGTGAATACACTCTGCAAGCCGAATGCAGTGGAGTGGGGGAAAATACACTGAATAGTCATTGGAGCTGAATTTGGTGAAAAGAAAACTCATTATTCAAAAGAAAGAAGAGTGTGCCGAAGGCTGTGCTCCAGAATTTCCCTCAGTCTCAGTTGTTGATGAGCAACACACCCATGCAATTTATATGTTTATAAGCTAGATGAGCAAGTCAATAGCTGTTTGTGTTCCTTTTTAAAGGGTGCACAAATAGACAAAAAGAGGAATCCTTTCAAGTCGTTTTGTATTGAATGAGCTTTTGAAATGAGTCTTTATCTGCTATTTCGGTGACACCTATTTATATTCAGCTGGTATGTAAACTAAACCCTTTCTCCACACTGTCGGCTGTCTGTATATCTCCTTGGCAAAGGGAATACTTGGATTTAATTCACTGCAATAACTGCAATACATACAGTACACGACTTCCTGTCCCCTGTGCAAAAGCAATATTATGTAATTAGATAACATCGCCCCCTTGTGGACCATTGTTTGGTTTCCTCTGTAGAAAATGGCCTGAAATAGTTATAATTTCCACAGATATTAAAAATACTAAGTATGCTTTGTTTAAAATGCTTTAGGATAATTAATAAACAACAAGGCTTAATTATTATAAAATAACTTGACTGAGTGTCCTTTCGTCACATGGCTATTTTTGTACCATGACATGAAATGTGAGAAGCTATCAGCAAACATGCTCACACACAAGGAATACAAAAAGAAAACACCTTGCACTTTCTGTAGACTGACAATAAAGCTTGCAGTTAGGTTGGTAGGTCAGCTTGTAATTTTTAACAAACCCAAAGGGGCTGACAAATGATGTCAACTCAGCCAGCAGAGATGTATTTAGATCTGCAGCTCCTCAGATGCTCACCAGCAGCTGTTGTGAACGTGTGTCAGCGCATGCGTGTCTTCACTTTCCCATTCTTCTGATCGTGCAACTTGGTCTGGTAAGCCAACAACTCTGTTTATTGCTTTGAATAGATTGACCTCCTTTGCTTTTAAACAAAATAAGGAGCTAGAATATATTTCAAAGTAAAAGCCTATAAATAGCAAATGGACTGAATGCCTGTCCCAGATTGCCTGTTTTATATTGTAGGCCTAGAAACGTTTTGTGTGTGTATGGACTTCCACGGCACTTGTTTGGGGAAATGTTTGGCCTATTTGAAGCCAGAGCAGTGGCACTTAGCCACATTAGTATGGCGTTTTGAAGGCTAATATACCTGCAGGATTCTTACTTGTTGAGCTTGTTTCTTCATGGTGGACAGCACTTACTGTAAGTCACTTTGGATAAAAGCTTCAGCTAAATGAAATGTAAAGTAAAGTAAAAACTGTGTTATTATTTTTAATGTACTTGTTATTATTCAATGGAAAATAGTATGATATCTCTCAAAGTTATAGTTGTATATTGCAGTCCAGGTCCAGTCATTCTATACATGGATTTAATTAATCTCCTCAGGAAATCACAGTCACAATGACGCTCCAGTGGACGGCCGTGGCTTTCTTCCTCTATGCAGAGATAGCATTGAACCTCATCTTGTGTATACCCTTCATATCAGCACGCAGGTACTGCAAAACAAACAAAAACCCCATATATAAATCAAAAGTTCATTCATCAACTCATGCCTAGCTTTCTGTGCAGAGGATGATGGTCTGAATAAATAAGACAATAAAAAAAGAGCCCTTTGCAAGAGTTGATTGTAAAATAACAAACATGAAATAGACACTTCACACAAACCACCAGCAGAGTGCATGCATGTCCTTTCTGGGAAGATCTATTATGTTTCACTCACATGTCCTTTTTACTTATTTTGCAGATGGCGTTCTGTTTTCAGCTGGAGAATATGGAACTGGTTAACTCCATATTGGAACAAATGCTTTTTTACCATGATCATGGTTCTTATTGTTCTTTTCCTTGGTAAGTGCCTTGCTGTGAGTGACAGACAGTGACTGACACTGAGTGGACTGACAGCATGTTGTCAGTCCAGCAGAGCCAGCATCATCATTCTGTCCCCCTGCCCACTCAGACGCTGTCCGGGAGGTGCAGAAGTACTCAGGTGCTGAGCCCATGCACGATGTCAAGATTAACCCAAATTTGTTCGACAACGTCCACATGAAGCTGTTCAGAGCGCAGAGGAACCTCTACATATCTGGCTTCTCTCTCTTCCTCTGGCTGTTAGTGTCATTATCTTATACATGTATTAACAGAATGTGTTTGGGACCTCCTGTCCACTTCTCTTTCTGATATCCTGTCTTGCCCTGCCTTTTTTTCTGTCCTTCATCACAGTATCATGCGCAGGACTGTCACCTTGCTGAACCAGGTTGCTGTCACCGTGGATAACAGTGCAGGTCTTCAGGCACAGATGGACAGTGCTGTCAAAGCAGCAAAGCAGCATCAGGATGACAACCTGAAGCTTAAGCAAGTGAGAATTAATCTGAGTCTGATGACAGAACTAAAACTTGTTGTAGTTTTAAAGCGTGTTACTTTCATTTTATTCCAGAAATGTGTAATATCTATTGCAGGGTACCTTCAATGTAACCTAAATGTGCATTATTGACTCATGTCCACCTTTTAAAATGTGTAGGCATTAATTCATACAGTATTTTTCAGAGAACTATTTCTGTGATTTGTAATTTGGAGCTCTGTGGTCTTCTGTTGGTAATTAAAGATAATTATTTGTTTTCTCAGGCTCTCCTAAATGAGGAAAAAGCCATGTCAGCAAAAAACCAGGTACTGAAGCTGGACAGTGAGAAGCTGGCAGATCAAGTGAAGACTTCTGAGCAAGGTAAGTAAGCATCACCTCTTTTATATAGTATGATCATGAGTGATACTTTTCAAAACCAAATAACTGTTCTTACTGTATAGTAAGGATTATGCACACTGTGACACTTTTAAACATTCATAAAGTGTAAACTTCTTCCGACCCCTTTTCGGACGTGTAATTAGCTAAAGCTTTGTTGTTTATTGATATCAGACAATGATACTACAGATTATTCAATTATTAATTAAATGTTTCGTTTTGTTATTGCATTCATTTGTATAGTACTGTATCATGTCTGTATCACCTTTTGTTTCATTTGTATTTTCTTTGGGTTTACACGCTCGAAAAAAAATAATAAACTAAACTAAGCTAAACTAGATCATGGACCATCACTGATCTTACATAAGCTGTAGTATTATAAAAGAAGCCCATTCTAGGGGCATTGGAGATATACAGAGCATTTCATAGATGTAGTGCTGTTTGTGTGTGTAGCTGTGCGTAAATCTTATGCTGAAGTGGAGGCCATGAAGAGGCAGGCTAAAGGTCTGGCACAAGAGTATGACCGACTTTTGACTGAACACAATCAACTCCAGGTAAAAAAGTCACACACAGCTCTACTTCATGTGTGCAAGTAGATAAAAAATCTAACTGTATATTAACCCCCGTAATACTGGAAACATTCTGTTTTTAATCCTCTGCTTGATCCACAGAATGTCAAGAGTGGAGATAAAAAGGATCTGTAACCACATGAACACAGAGACTATTGTTGTAAGGTTTCTCCTCAGTACAGGGATACCTTTTCTTCTCATCACATTAAAACTGTGTGTTATATGCAGAGTGTTTGTTTAAATATGTTTTTGTAGTTGCTTTGCATGTAACTAAGGATTAGAAGTGTACAAATGAGTTTAAATGTTGTCTCAGGGACCCATGCTAACGTTGGATTATGACTGAAACAACATCCAAGAAATACATTATGCTATTATGCTTAACTTTGTGTCACTGCAGAGAGATTGTTAACCGGTTTGTGAATTGCTATGCATTCTGACATTTGTAAAGGGAAGAGAGCACTCAACTTGTTTTAAAAGATGTTCAAATGTTTTGAATAAAGTGCCTTTGAATATTACTGAGCATTTTGGAATGGTAGATCTATCTTCAAGCCATAATACCTTTAATATACTAATTACATTTAAAATAAAGATTGCTGTTCTGGCTTCTCTTGACATTTTGTAATTTGTTGACAATTTGGTCCTGTATATGACACACAAATAAACACATAAAACCCGCAACAATTGCCATGCTGAGATCAATTATGACATTACTTGTTTATTTTTTTAAAGAGGCACATTGACACCAACAATGATTAAATGTAAGAGAGAGGGCAGAGGGCAGCTGTTTTCTGTGCTGCTCTTGCTCTGATCTGCTTATTGAGTCTATTTGTTCACAGAAAATATTGTCTTAGCCTGGGTGTAGCAATATCAACAGCTGTAAAAGTCTACAAACCTGTTCAATAACGTATCTCTTCTGAGCTAAAAGCAAAGCCACAACTCCCATGACAGCGTTTAACCATCTTATTCAGGCACCATAATACATCATGAATCCAAAAATCTATGTTATCAAGTTTAATCAAAAAAACGAGAACCAACATAAAAACACAGCACAATTACATTCTTAAGATGACTCATTGTCTAACAAATCCTGTACAAATATATACTCTGTGTGCTATGAAAAGAGTCCACAGTGTGTTTTCCTCTGTTCATCACAAGCGAGTCTCTCGGTCAGGAATGCAGTCCGAGGCCGGAATAAACTGCTCACAGTGTGTGGAGCTGTTCTCCTCTTTTCTTAAAGACTCCAACTCTGCACTGCCATTGGTCAAAGCATTTCTCTCCTCCATCTTAATGTGTCTTTTAAGTAGAGCAAAGCCTGGATAACATAGGAAGAAGGAGGCTGTCCGTAAGCCCAGAGTCAGGCCCAGGTACAGTGTCCTGCAGAAAAAAGGAAGCAATACAGTAAGGGGACAATCAGCAATTGGCAAAATATGGGTTAAACTATTATTTTTGAATCACTAGTGGTAAGGGTATAGCAACAATAACACCTTATATATTTCATCTATCTAATACTTTTTAAATAAGTATTGCAGCCTACCAGGACAGCTGCCTTGGTCATAGATGTTTTGTCTTGTTTGAAAGTGATCTCTGTACAAGATATTCGATTGGATATTCCATAAAGCGTTTAAATAAAGTTCTACTAATCAATTTACCTGTAAGCTGAGGTGTTATATATTCTGCACGCTCCTCTTCCTCCACACATCTTATTCCCCCATTTGAGGCAGGTTGTGTCGATTATGGCTCCAAAGTATATCGGGGCAGGTATTCCAGCTGTTTTGAAATTCAAAATATGTTGTTACTTCAAACAAAGAACACATAAAGGGTTGCTTCGAAGTGAGATATCATTTGTGACATTATAAAATGACCAATCATACTTATTGTATTGGTTATAATAAGGGTTCATATAAAGCTTTTTAATGGAAAATATGTGCCTAAAACACTTGGTGACAGAAAATAATCTTTAAAATATTTTTTTTCCATACACACACATTAGTCCATCTGCTTCTGAATGTCAGCTCTTAGGAGATTTCTGTTTGTTTGACATTTGCACTAACTAGACAGTAATGTACAGAATACCAAAAAGCTTCTCACCGAAGGTACGAGTGGCCAACGAGTGGATTCCAAGAGCAAAGCATTTCAGCTCAGGCCTAATACACCTATAGAGACAATAATGAGGCGGTTAAAAGGAAACTCAACTTGTAACCTTATAACACTTCAATAAGAATAATGATACACTTTTTGTACGAGAAGACATAAAAAAAACTCTAAGAAATAGCATTACAAAATGCTTTCATGCAAACTTCTAATTCCTGACTTTTTATTTTATTTGTGAAATATCTCCATTGATGAGACTGTATCGTATTCAAGTTTCAATCAATTGGAGATGTAAGAAAGACAAGATGAGGTGTTGCTCCAACGTATTGCTGTATGTGGATTGAGTCCAATGATTCCACAAGGGGTTTGAAGACGAACCTGACGAGCAGCATGAAGCCTGGTGTTCCTCCCAGAGAGATGATGAAGGAGCTGAGGACTGACAGGGCCAGGAAGTAAGGAAAGACTTTGTCACAGCTGTCACTGCGTGGACACTGTCCCAGAGAGGCCGTCAGGTTGACTTGTTGGGTGTCAGGCAGTGCTACACAACTGCAATTCGCAAACACCTAAACAACAAAAGTTCATGAATGATAGATGACACACTTTCAAGGGAAAAGTAGTGCAAATACATCTGAAATGTCATTTGTTAATCTGTAGGCCTCAGGGAAAATGGGTATGAGATGAATAAAATGTTGCAATTAGGGAGGGAGGCGTGTGGTTCAGTGGGTTGTGTGTTGGTGTTCGGATCAGGTGGTCACAGGTTAAAACCCCACTGCAGTCAGCATGTCGTTGTGTCCCTGGGCAAGACACTTCACTCCAAATTGCTCCTGTGGGGATTGCCCACAGTATTGAGTATGTAAGTCGCTTTGGATAAAAGCGTCTAACAAGTGACATGTAATGTAATGTAATTAAGCCAAAATATTGAGCTCAATTTGTAAATAAATTATACTCGGAAATCTGGATGTGACATGAAATCAGTAGTGGAGGTCCCACCGTATATTTGCCGGAGCCAGTGGACGAGGAGCATCCGGCCAAACAAGGGGACACGTAGGTGATCCCGTTCTCTCCGCACACTGGATCCCAATCCCTTCTGGAGCACAAGCAGCCCGAATTACATTCAGAGAAGAGAGACTGTTCCTGATAAGACAAGCCTTCGACTCTGCATGGGACAACATGAAGAACATGCATATATTATTGACAGCTCATGTGAAAAATTCATCAAATATGAAGCTACAACCATTAATGTGCAAGGAGTATGAAAATAAAGGCAAAGAAAGGCAACAAAACACGAAAGAGATGCGTGTTGGCTGTACTGAATAATTTTAGAATTTCCCCAAACTCAAACCCACTGTAGCTCCTTCTCTCTGATGTTACATATTCCACTAAGACATGAGGAAGTGTATCCAGACTTCACATACCCGGTATATGAGACTGTGACGCCTGCCACCTTGGAGTTCTCACAGCCCATGGCGAAGAAGAAGAGCGACAGGAAGAAGCCCAGCAGGGAGGTCCCAAAGGCAAATTTAGCTGCTCCCATGATACCCAGCTTGTACTTCTTCATGACAACCCCTCCAGAGAACATCCCAAGGGCCACAGCCGGGATGTTGATCATGCCTACACAAACCACAGAATATAATAGATTCTTAAAGGAACAGAGGAGGAGGATATAACATGAACTAGCAGTACCAGGCAGCAACATTGCTCCCTAAAAGAAATCAAAGTCAGAGCACTTATTCATATGATAGTAGTAGTCTCATTCATATGTAATGCAAAGTGTATTGAAGTCATGGCATGAAACATGAAAATGACATTTGATGTTAGAGAAAATAATAAATGCATTTCTACTCGTCTAACTTTACTTATGCTGTTATGTGGGTTGACTAATTAATGAGTCTTATTAAGAAAAAAGTGCTTTTTTAAATAAATGCCAATAAACAGAAGTACTCAATGTCCAATGGTTTCATTAAACCTGGCTGTCATTTAGAAGCTGCAGTGTTTACTTGAGAGGGATGTGGGAGTCAGCACATACAAAATTCATCAAACACTGGCTCATGAAACCATTATGATGATCATACAGCTCTCATTTCTTTGCATTCCTTAAATACTTGTCTTACAGTGAAGCAACACAGGCTCATCTACCAAGATGAAATGACCAGACAGACAGACAAAACATATTTTTAAACATTGGTAATAAACAGTCTGCTTACCCATGAGGAAATTGGCTTTTGATGCTGACTGGCCGTAGTGTTGCTCGATGTATTTGGGTTTGTAGGTCACCATCCCGATGAGAGAGTTGAACTGAATGATGGTCACGCATAAAAAAGTGACGTACACAGGATTTCCAAGGAGGCTCTTCAATGTGGGCATAAATTCTGTGTGGGGAAGTTAATGGAAACCACTTAAAAATAGGCTTTGATTTACTTACAACTAAGATTTTTGATGCTTTTCTAAACCTTTTAATCCTTTACAGATTACAAATATGTTGAATATAACAGACCTTAAGTTTATTTGAATAGTGTTTTGTTAATGGATATAAGGAAAATATAATTTTTGACAACCTTTAAGATTGACTTAAGACTCCATACAGATTATGGTGCCACTACTCACATTCAAAATGTACATCATTTTAACTTGGTGTGACTATAATCATACCTTTGGCCATCTGCTGTAGATTAGCCGGCTCCTCAGGTCTGAACTTGTGCTCCATGGTTGGGGAATCTTTGATAAACCTGGTTTGCTCGGGGGTGCAGCTGCTATCGTGTTTATCCACGGGCATGGGCAGTGATTTTGGCAGGAACCAGAAAGGAACTGCAGACATGAGGGTGATGATCCCAGCGATAAGGTAGCCCAGCCACCATGCACCCACCCAGCGGGCATCACTAGGGGTAATGGTCAGCGTCTCTGAAAAGATAAGACTCCTGTTAGCACATATGTTCATCATGAAATGTAGTTTGCTTTATGCGTGTCAGACGCACTCCTGCCTGCCTACTCCTTTTTAATACTTCAGGACTGAAATGGAAATATGTCATGGGACTTTATTGCGACATCTTGATGAATTTTAGTCCTGTTTTATTATTATTATTTTACATATATTATATATTTAAAAAGCAGAATTTATACATTTTTAAAGTGCCTTACATACACTTATAATGTTCAAAGTCAAAATGTCTAAACATGAGGTGTGTATTTGTTATTAACTGTAAATGTATTGTATGTATGAGTTGATTTGGAACCAAAAGATTTTCCGTATTGGGGATTAATAAAGATTTCTGATCTAATTGTGTTTACAACAGCTTTAATGCGTTTCCCAGTCAGAATGAACTGTATGACAGGATTTACTCTGCTCTAAATCATTTCCACTTGGCAGGTGTGTTGTGTCTGGCACAGCTCTAGCATCCCCATGTACAGCAACCTATTTCTCAATCCAATTCTTCACAGAGTGCATTTCTGCAGCGTGAAGAAATGATAATCCACAACAACAGTTTACAAATCTTAACATTGTCATGAATCAGTCACGGTTATCAGTCAGATTACATACCCAAGTCAACATAGCCAATGTCAACGTAGATCTTGGCACACAGAGACCCCAGCAGATACCCAAAGACAGGACCGATAATTGATATGGTTTGGACACATCCTAGAATATACAACAAAGAAATGTATTTTAATTTATCCACATCTAGCACCTACAAACATAACATCCTATGCCTAATTATTATTCTGTATTTGTACTGCAATACATTCCCTTTTTGAATACAATCAATCCAAGTCTGTTTTCTTTTAGCAAAAGCATGTACACTATGCATTAAACATGTAGTCATCTTATCCCCCTATAGGACTCATCATTGCAAACTGTATAGCCTAACTGGATGGTCCTCACTTACTATGCGTAGGATGCAGCATTGGTATTTATTATTGTATAAAGCCATTTTAGGTAAGCTTCCACTGTATATTTGTGCCAGATTTGCTCCAGTTAGTGACTCAGAACCAGTGCCTGGATATGGTTCCAGGTTCCTGCTGTGCGGACTGAGGCTGGAAAAAGGAGTCTTTTTTATTATGCTCCTTGGTCTTGGAATGACCTTCAATCAAGCCTCAAACTGAGGGCACTTGTCCCAATAGCCTGTTTTCAATTGAAGTTGTCTGAGGTCCTTACCACCAGCTGCTCTTGCAGTAATAAGTAGTGTACCTTACTGTCCCAAATGTGCACAATGTAGTGACTGCTTTTCGTCTTTCTGTTTACTTAGTTGTGTTTTCTGTATTTTATATGTCTGTGTTATGTGTAAGAACGTGTAACGTTGCTGCCTTCTTGGCCAGGTCAGCATTGTAAATTAGATTTTGTCTCAATGTTTTCATCTGGTTAAATTAAAAAAATCCCAATTCATCCTTAGTACATCCTATATAGCTGCTGAAATAGCCTAAAATGTAAAAAGCAATTGTTTCTTGGTTGCCTGAACATAAAAACCTCTTTTCTTATAACACAAATGTAATGGAAATCCACTTATTGAAGGAACGGCAATGATAATGAAGTGACCTTTATTAATGATACCACATGAAGCTACTAACATAGCAAATGAGTAAGGTGCATTACCAATATAGAGGGCAGCATTCTCTGTTTGTGCGTAATCATCAATATAGGAGATTCCCAAAGGCTGTACTGGAGTCTCTCCAATTCCCCGCAGGATATTTCCCAGAAGCACATAAATCCACATTGAAACACTGGACTCTCGCTCACAGCCTGCAGTTCAAAAAGACATTTGAAGTGGATTAAGTATTGAGAAGTCAAACCCTCTTGAAAATGGTAAAAAACTGACAATTAATTTAATGTATGCATTCTCTTCTATATTACTTCGTTTTTTTGTTAATTCATATTATCAACCATGATGAGAAATCTGGTTTTGGTGCATCATATCTCAATGACAAAACTCTAGGAAAGTCAGAGTAAAGTAGAAAGAAAGAATTTGCCAATATTCCCATTTTTGTGTTTTTTTTTTTTTACTAAGCAGCCTAATCTTACCTCTAGAGTTCAGTAACGAGGGTCTGTCACCTGCCCTGGTGGACTCAGGTGAGCTTGCTGGACATGGAGAGAGGTTATTGGTTGAATTCACTGACCATCTAACTGATGTTTCGATCTTATAGCTGCGTACAAAATACCAATGTGACTGTTAACAAGGGAAGGGAGAAAGCATCAGGTATCGTTAGATACTCACATAGTGAAGCACAAATACAAACATCATTTTAAAAATGCATTACAGTCAATACATTGGCTTTGTGGTGCTTGAATACTTAAATGAAATAAATACTGTACATGGGAGAAGTTTGTGAGCTACAATGCATGCATGCATACAGATTTGACATTTATCTTACCGGCCAATGAGGAAATGGGGCATGGCGATCAAGAAGGTCCCAAAGGACATCAACACACAACCAATTGCTATGATCTTGGGCCGGTGGAGTTTGGCACCAAAATAACTCACAAAGGCAATGACCAACAAATTCCCTACAAGGTTGAGATGATCAGTAAAGAAGACAGAGGTGAGTCAATGTTGAACAAATGTATACTAGTATAGTATTCTTCAGAGAGAAAATACAGAATAAATTATCTAAATGATACAAGTTGATGATTAAAACCTCTTGTGAACCCTGTGTATTGTTCTGATTAAGCTGCCGAACCGCATGAACGCTATCTTCAAGAGATTTCAAAACAAGGGATATTAATTTATATTTAGACAACCATAACAGACATTCACCTTGATTTAACCAAGGGTATATTAGTAAACAGCTAATTATACCTCCAAGGTGGGCACATTAATGCTTTTTTGTGCGTCTACATACCACTGCTAAATGGGTGTCTATAATTCACAGTATCAGTATTTGACCTACCAGAGAACTGTATAGGTTTTGATCAAAGCCAGTGTGAATAAACTTATGTATCTAGAGCATAAAAAGGCAGTATTTGAAGTCTAGTCCCCAGTCTGTTGTGCATTTGAACCAACCATCACAAAATCCCTCCATTTCCAGCCTACAGTAAATGTTCTACCCTTCAAAGGGTTTCTGGCTCATTAAGAGTCAACTAGGTACTCAGGTAAGCTCAGAGGGCGTTGTGCGGATGCTTTAGTGCTCTCAGGCATGCAAATACTTATTCTTGGTTTATTCGCATTAGCATCTTAATGCTCCAAAACTATTTTGTCAGTAAATAGAGAGACACATTTGCAATAACGAATTGAGATACTCACCTACTTCAAAGCTCCCGTCTATGATTCCGATCAGATAACTGGGGATGTCAAATCTTCTTTCTAGTTGTGTAATTGTGCTCTTCATGTAGCTGCCAGATAAAGCCTTGGCAAAGTAAGCGAAGGACAAGGAAGCAATGAACATCTAGAGAGATACAGAAAGAGGAAACACAACAATGTGTCAAACACTGTGGCCTTGAATGACTTATGACTACATTTCAATTTGAAATCGTATGTTTACCTGTTATATTACATTATTTTAAATCCTGTAGCCTAAACATCTCAGCGCAACAGTGGAAAGGAAAACAAAAAAGGAAGGTGAACTGAAAAGAGAATATAAAGACATGAAAAAACAATGAAGGGATAGAACGTATATCTAAGCACTGTGACATGTGTGTATGTATGTATTTATGTGTTTGTGTGTATGTGTGTATGTATGTTGGATAGGGCTGTGCGATTATGGCAAAAATCATAATCATGATTATTTTTGGTCAATATTGATATCACGATTATTAAATACGATTATTCATTGACTTTGAAAACATCAATTTATTGAACTTTTTAAAAAAAGGTTGTTCGTTGTTTTTAACAGTTGATTACCCTGAATTTTAAGTATAATTCAACTGAAAAACCAATAAAAATGAATTAAAATTAAAATTATACATTTATATCTACATTTAAATAAATAATATCAAAATAATAAATACCAATAAAGATCAACAAATATTTTGGAGCGCACTTCCACAACCTACTAAACATATATTATAAATATGATAACTAATGTCACTCACAACCTGTCATGTTTAATTATACTGCTACACGCAGTACTCTTATTTTGGTAACCCCTTATATTATCCGGAAACCGGAAGTAGCGAGCTAAGAGATGCCGGTTTGACGAGGTTAGTAAAAGTTGACTGAACGCTAGAGACCGGAGCATGGAGGACCGGAGAATAAAGACATGGCAACTAAAGCTTCCCTTATAACGTGTTATATGGATTTATTAAACAGACTGCAAGTCACAACACAACCTGGCCGAGAGGGCTTTTAGGGAGGGGTGAAAGCGCACGCGCGGGCAGGATGTATAACGCAACACAAATTGAGAGCATCATTGCGAAAGGGAATACAGCAAAATAATCGTTTTATTTCGATTACGCTGTTTTCGTAATTGTTGCAAGCCAAAATCGTAATCGAGATTAAAATACGATTAATTGCACAGCCCTAATGTTGGATGTGAATGAGTAAAGGGAAAGCTGGCTGTTAAAGCTTGGGCCAGAGAGTGTATTAAGCTAAGCCACCCATGGACACTGACAGTCAGTAACAAAGGGAGGATTAGAGAAGCCAACCCCACGAGGACACAGATTCATCCACTGCACTATGAGCCGACAGCCCCTGACTGACATGAAGCATAATTGGAAACAGGTGAGAGGAAACCATAGCCTGCACTCTCAGGGATGAAAATAGCCTGAGCTCTAAGGAGAAGCACAACCCTACAAACCACCTTTCTTAGTTAACTGAATGTCGTTTAGAGGCAACTATGAATTCACATATCACATCGTTTTGACATGGTGTTGTTATATATATTACAATTCACAGATGAATTTCAAGACATCAACATTGATGCCCTCTCTCTCTTCTCTCTCTCTTCTCTTGATCGCCCTCTCTCTTCTCTTGATCGCCCTCTCTCTCTTCTCTTGATCGCCCTCTCTCTCTTCTCTTGATCACCCTCTCACTCTTCTATCACCCTCTCTCTCTTCTCTTGATCGCCCTCTCTCTCTTCTCTTGATCGCCCTCTCTCTCTCCTCTTGATCGCCCTCTCTCTCGGAAACGGCATATGATGACACCCCATAATTGACGTAGAGCTGTTGAGGGCAGGACCATTAACCATTATCTGAAGTCTGCTGCTCTGAGCATGTCAGTTGGAGTTATGACATCATCGTGTTCCATAACACAGGTGTTTATATTTGAGCTAACGACGTGTCAACGTGCAGTAATCAGTGAGAGGAGAGCATTTGCATTGTTCTGAATGAGAGATAAACCTGTTACATGTGAACGTTTTGTTGAAGAACCGTAACAGATATCGGTGAAATTTCAAAGCGTGAAGCATCTCAAGGACCTTGAGTATCTGAAGTGTGCTTTTTGTGTACTTTCGGGTCAATAATGTGGCCTTTTTGGCAGATTAACTAAAGGTGTGCGGCTGCTGCTGTGAGGAAATATCAGCCTGAAATTACAATGGGCTTTAGACATGTTGAACGTTTTTGTCACTTCATGCCCTCAAGAGGCATTTTTTTAATTATTTTTGCTTAATTATTTGTCATTCTTCAAGCTACGAGATGTTTTCCTACGTTTGTCATGAAAAAGTATGTCTCAGGAATGTAGGGTTTGGGAATTATGGCAGTTTTAAAAAAAAATATGAAGGCAAATTTCAAGATTTCCTACACTCTAGCTGTGACATCACGCACTCTAGTTAATGTTAAAATCTGAAGAAGGCCTCTGTACCAAGGTCTGAACAATGTTTAATATCTCTAAAAGTAAGAATCAGATTTAAAAGTTGTGTTACACGAATAATGTCAGAAAGATGTGTAACATTTTAAAGTTGGAATGAGATTTCTGAGTGAAAGTATGAAGGAACAGTTAGCAGTTGAAGTCGCATGAAGATTGTTCAAGTCTGAAGATTTTCTCCATTGACTTCAATGGTTAAAAATGTGATGAATTATGGGACGTATCTCTGGAATTATGAAAGTTATGAATGAGAAAAGTAATAGCCATCGATTCCCGACCGAGCTGAACGTTTGGACGGAGTTTCTGCGATGTGGAATGTGGGAGAAGAAGACGGACAAAATAACGGGCGGAATCAAGATTTGGAATAACATATAGTTGGAATGCTGTATCAGCATTAACTTGCTAATTAACTTGACAGCTTAAGCCAGGATTAATACAGTGGCTCAAAAACCAGCCTGCTTATTAAAATCCCAATGACCCGAAATTCTGCAGCAGTCATACTGTGGTTGTGGGACACGGCTTGGATCTTACATCTTGGCAACACATTCAAACTTTAGGTCATGTGAACATTTGACCAGAGCACGGCAATCACATTACAGCTGAGCAAGAAGTTAACCCAATCAAAAAAACACATGATTCGTCTTAGGAGTAGTGCTGATAATAAACACAGAATGTTTTTTTTTTGTGGAAGATATTGGTCAAAGAGATGCAAAAAAAAAAAAAGTGTCTCTTTCCAGCAAACATGACCTACATGTAATCTTCAGTTGTTCTTGTGTGCAGATTTAAGAATGAACTATTTTTTGTATACCAAACTACCTGTGAACTAGGGAGCATTAGCTATTGTCCATGAGAAAATGCACACTTCCTGTGGCAGCTGTAGATAAATAGCACACCAGGTAATAAGAAAAATATGTATTTCTGATTTGGGGTGAACTGTCCCTTTAAAAAACAGTGGGGTCTCTGCGTAATGAGGTATCAGTGTAGCTATGGCAACAACCTGGGTGGTTTGCAGCTGAATAATAAGCCTCTCAATGTAAGAGCAGGCTTCGCTCTAATGTCAAGTGCATAATTACGATTTAAACCACAGTGGATACAATGCTACAGCAGAAAATCTGAAGCACAAAGCACACATTCATGATGTTGACTTTGGGCTCTACACTACCATCATGGTGTCGGCATTTTGCCTGATGGCAACATTTAAAGGAACTGCCTCCACTTTTTGACATGGGGATGGTATTGTACAACAGGGAACATCCTTCAAGATGTCTTCTTAAAACATACTTTTTTTAAAATTGTCATAGATCTGTTGCCTCATTGTTGCTATGGACACCACGCTGCTACGGCTATCTATGTGTTCATCCATTTATCTATAACTGCTATTAATAATGTTTACATTTGTTACACTGTTTTTCTCTTTTTAAATATGGTTGGACCAAATCCTTTGTATTTAGGAACCAAAAATGTCCTGTCCAGTTGTGATGATATAGGTGTAATTTATTTCTGATACTATTCACCAAATGTTTAAAGGTTCATTAAAGTGTTTTACTTTTAAAAACTTGGATGTAAATATCAGAATGCCTCAGGGTTCAAACATAAAAAAATAAAAAATAAATAAATACTATGTCATTCTCTCCATCTAAGAAATTGCTCATGTTAGAATGAAATACAATCCTAACACGGGCTTTACAAACCTATATTGGCAGCATTTATGTGCTACAAGTAGTATCAAAAGCACCTCAGTTAGGTTTATTGTAGGATTACCCCACACGGAAGGAAAACCCACAAAAAGGCAGCATGACTGAAATTCCTTGTTATTGTTGCCCAAGTATTTCACTAAGCAGCTTTCTAATGATCTATGATCTAATACTAATCCAATAAAGAGGTACAGACCCTTTATTCTGACCTCTTTTACTGGAGCTAAAAACTTTGTCCAAGGAATTTCTCACAGTGACTTAATCAGGTCCAAAGGGAACCGAGAGCAGCTGCACTCAACACCTCTCATGGACACCAACTAGGCTTCACCAGGAACATGCAGCACCCGTTACTCAAACTTTAAGTAGGTGTTCATGAATTAAAACACGAAAAAGATACCTAAAGTTTCAAGGCTCTTTAAATGACATCTATAGCTTTAAGATATTTACACACTTCATACTGTATGTACACTGTGTCTCTCTGACATACATGTGATCTCGATCATAGGAGTGGTATTTGTGTGACCCCCCTCTAGGCTAGTCAAATGACAGGCTTGCTCGCTGTCCTTTGAGGCTGAAACACTTCATACATGTTCTCACACAGTTCTCGAGTATATAATCCGGCCCCAATTAGCCAGCTGTGGGGTGAGTTTTTGCCCCTCTCTGCCACTTTAAATATCAGATGTGTGCATGGTAAAAAAACAATACATTTGACATAGATAAAGAATTTTGGAAATAAAGTTATTTCTAAGGAAGATCTAAATAAAAACCTTCTTATAATTGTGGTAGTCCTGTGTTGTCTTTACGAAAATGTAATTTGTTTTAACGCCACATTTTGTACTAATTTAGTATTAGGAAAGCCATTTATAATAGTGAAGTGAAGTACAACAAAACCCAAATTCAAAACATGCATCTGACTTCAGTTGAGGTTGTGTTATGAATTCAGAAGGGCTTGTCAGGGCAGAGCTAGTTATTTTATTATATTTTACAAAAACAACAGTACCTTCAGGTTGGGGTGGCAGGAGTTCTTCACTGTGGGGGGGGTGGGGTTGTCATCAGGAGTCCAGCTGCCTGCGGCCGTGTTGTCCATTTTCTTCATGGCAGCCTCCTTCTTTACTTCACTATGGCTGTCTTTACTCACACCTGTTGGATCAAATTTAGATTTAAAAAATATGTCAAGCTCATTTTCATTAACCCAAATTATTATTTTCATTAAAGGTACAGTAGGGTAGGTAAGTTTGAGAAACCGGCTCGAGATACACTTTTTGTTATATTCCATGGAACGCTCTTAACATCCCGATAGCAATGAATATCTTAAGTGCTTTGACAAAAAATCCATAAAAAAATGTCATCTGTGGAAGCCGTAGTACTGTAAAAAGCACGACCAATCATTTTAGCCGGGCCGGCTAAAATGATTGGATGGCCTACCTGCCTGTCAGCCTTCCATCTGTGCACAAACTTATCTCGTGCCCTCATTGGTCATGTGCGCGTTCGTGTGTGTTGGAGGAGGGGCTCTATAAGGAAGTGGCAGATTTTCTCCGGTTGTGTATTTTCAAATTCTAGCGATCTCGAGCCGGTTTCTCAAACTTACCTACCCCACCTTTAATAACAGTTTTTTAGTTTTCGAAATAGATGGAAATATCACTTGATGCAAGTCCAAACAAGATGAGCAGAGCATTACATGTTCTTAAACATCAGTGGCATTAGTGTTTTAGAAGTTTTTTTATTCTGGAGGTTAAGTACATATCATGGCATATAATTTACAGCATGACTCATATCAAATGTAACAGATGGCATACTCTAGAATCTTCCGGGAAATAAAAACAAGCCTTAACAAGCCAATGTGAAGCTCATTAAATACAGTAAATGGTATTTTTCATACCGGGGAGCAAACTGTATTTTCACAAAAACATTCTTTCCTCTAATTGCTAGTATAATTTCTCCTTAATAGCCATAATGATACTAAGAGATTATGAGATATAGTGAGGGTTGAGAAAGATCATTGAAAAAAAAGTAATGAGTGACAGAAAAATGTGCAATGAGCTTCGGGGCTTTGATCATCGAGACGTTTTCCTTCGGAAGTTCTGCTGAACTTGCCATGTGATGAGAAAGATAGAGGGATCAGAAAGTCAGAGAGAAAACATCACCATGTTAAAAGTGTATGTGTTTTCACTATGAAATGTAAAAAGATTTGTATACAAGAGAGATCAGAGCTGTGACACTGTCTAAAAGCCGGGGTGTTTATTCACTGACAAGAAAAGTCCCTATGGATCCCTCCACCAAACCACAACATGGCTTTGAACTGTGCATGAAAGAAAGGCAACTGCTGACATAAAGTATTTCATACTTATCTAACCAAGACCTGTATACCACATGCGGAGACTGTGAGGCAAGTATTTCAGAACAACAGTCAAAATATTTCATCAGAGTGTTTTGAAGCTTGTATCTCCCAGACAGCTACATAATCTAATGTATGCACCATTAAACTGCCTTCCTGGAGAGTCATAACAGGATAACCTATTCATGTCCACATAGGAGGTAATATTTTGCATATAATAATGACACTTATTTGATCATTGTGTTCAAACTGGAGAAAATACATACAGTACCTACCATTTCCATGAGCAGCTACTGTATAGTTCAATCTTAAACTCCCTGTTTCTTCAAAACACTCCCGGGTCTGGTTATGAAATGTTTTGTTGGTAAACTCATAAAAGAATCAAATGTGCTGTCTAGTGCCCTACTGTAAATATAATAATAATAATAATAATACTACATGTTATTTATATAGCGCTTTTCCTGGTGCTCAAAGCGCTTAATATAAAATGTGTTATCCAGTAAACCTTTAGAGCTTGGCTGCTGTTAAGAATAATCCTGCATATAAAATCAAAGAGGTGCATAAAAGGCCTTAGTACACTTCATGGGCGTAACTTAGTAAAACCCACTGATAAATACTTAGATTATTGGCAAATTCACTATGATGTTAACTTTGATTAACTATGAGGCCTACACCAAGAAACAGGGTGTAAACGTTGCATTATGGGTGATACCACATGCACTCAGGTCAATTAGTCAATGCATATTGAGTTACCAGATAGATAATGCAAAGCCCCTGCTGTTTCTCAGCTGTGTGCACTGTCTGTAGCGGTTAAAAGATGAGCAGTCAGTCGGCCGTTTTCTTCAGGAAGATGCAACGACATGACATATTGAGAAGTGTCAAACATAGAAAAAGTTTATAAAATAGACAGTGTGTTTCATACCCAAACTACCATACTATTTAGAAGGCTAGAAAAAATACTTGGTATCCCTATATGTCAAATGCACTAGGCAAAAAGTACCAGGATATCCTTAAGCTTCTGTCCCATTATATAAAATACATACGATAACTTTATTTGCAAGAAATATTGTTTAGGTTTTAGTTGTTTTCGACCGGAAAAGACTATTATAATGTGAAGTTTGATTTATATGTGTTAAATGTACCCAACAAAAAATAAATTAAATGTTGGATTTCATTTTGTCCATGTTGTTATTTTCAAAAATGAATCACTCCAATAAAGCATATTGAATTGACGTTGACATTGCTTTGACGTCAGCCGCCAATTGTTGTCCCTTCAGTGACGTTTAAATCACATGTTTTTTGGTGGCGTACGTCATAAATAATTGGACGCAGTTTTAAAAGTATTTTATCGCATTTTTGTGTTATTGATAAACACACTTTTCAACATCAGTCAAGCGTTGAACGTTTTTAATTTATTGTATCTATTTTTTAAGTTTTAGTTTTTTGAGCCATTAGTTCTAAGTTCTAATGCGCAAATGAAAATGCGCATAAAAAGCAGGTGCCCTCAAACACACCTGATCCCGGATAGTTCCTGTCTATCACTATCACATGCATTTTTAATCATCTCAAACCATATCGCAGCAACTTCACTTAACTGCAGTTTTGTAAACAAAGACGTAAACTGTAAAGTGAACAATACATGCGTAATTGTCAGTGACAGACAGAGTATTCACTAAAAAGAACATCATGATACTTACCCAACTCAAACCCTTTCCCCTCAAGGCGTCTTAAACTTCCTATTTTAAAATCGGTCTACAAATTGAGGCAGAATAATCCTGTTCTGTCACAAAAGCCTTCACCGGCACACAGTCTGACCGAGTCACCTGCTCATGCTGCACTACATGCTCCTCTGCCGCGGTGAAGAGTGGGTTTCTGGGAGGAAGCGACAGGGAGGGAGAGCCAGATTGAGCAGCGTGTTCACAGCGAGGCACGTGATGCTAAACAGAGCTGCGAGCACAATTTACCAGACAGTGTCCCACATTCTCACTTGGCTCTAATACAATTTAAGCCAATACATGTTATTCCAAAACATCTGCAAAGAAACGGTCAACAGATAATTATAAAAAAAAATCTGACAAACACCTTATTTATTTTTCAATATATACAGCCTGAAACGTTATACCAGCAGTGGCGACTGGTCATTAGGCACAGCCCCACCTAGTGTCAGCAGAAAGTATTACAAATAATGATTACAAAAATGCAAAAAAAAAAAAAAAAAAATATATAAAATATATTTTAAGATCATGTTTAATCATCTGATTCGTCTGTACATTGCTGTTTTAGTCTGTGTTCTTCTAATTAGTGTGTCTACAGTCACAGTGTGTGCCTATTGAGCTGTTTAGAGCCATGTGGGACAAAACCTGATTATGCCCCTTCCTCTCGCTGTGAAGTCAACGTGACTGTAAAAACTACACTGCGCATGCTCAGAGTATTTTGTAATGTAATGTGTGTGGCAAAAAAATAATGACCAGAGGGGCACGGAGCTACCATCCCCACCACACGTCATCTCAAATCATTCAGAGCTGATTGGCTGTAAGTACGTGTGCCGCGAAAAGTGTGCTGTGTGAAGAGGAGACGAGAGAGCTGCAGTGGCGCGTCCTAAAACCAGGAAGTAAGCACAAAAAAGCAATGAGATTTCTCCAGAGGATTTTAGAAAATAGCTCAAAATAAGATCTGTGGGAAACGTACCTGTTAGATAAATGCACGTTTTGATTAGCCGGATAACATCCACATGTCTACCCTACTTTTATAATTTTTTTATCATAAATCTATGGATTAGATTTATGATAGACTTTTGAAACTACAAGAAGATAAGGAGGACTTTTACAAAAAAGTAATAGAAATGTTTGTCCAGAAGGATAGGAAAATGGACTTCATCTTCAAGTCAAGGTAAGACCGCCATTTTATTGAAAATGGGATCTTACTAAGAGAGAACAATTCAATATTTAAATGATAAAATGACATTTTTTGGGTATCCTTTTGTTGAACTGTCTGTTTAAAATTAATCGAAGCATCAGACAAAAAAAGCTTTTGAAAATAATATTATATTTTGGTTTAGGTCAAAATATAATATTTGTAAACCTGAAGAGTCAGTGCCAGTGCCTCACCAGCCATGAACCTCACTGCACGTCACTGCAGAAGCTTATATATAGACATCTAAGTTTTTTGTGCCCCACCACTTTTGTACATATAAAAACGCCACTGTATACCAGGTTCAGGATTCGAACCCTCGGTCTCGCAGTGATGTGGATATGGAGTGCCTGCCTTAACTACTGAGCTACACAGCAGCTTGTGCAGGCAGGATTGATTTGAAGCGACTCGACCACATGACCTGTCACCTTTAGGCTGGCCAGGACACTAAAACTCGCAAAACATGAAAACTCAGAAAGATAATAAAGGAAATTATTTTTTGCAAACATTTTGAATTCAATTTGTATATGAAAATATAAAAAAACAAATTGATGTTTTAATGTTTTGAATTGTTATTATTATCACTGTATCTTTTTGTTTTTCATATTACATTTCTTTATATATATTTTTTCAAGTTAATTTTTATGATTTTATTTTATTATGATATTTTTCTCTCTCTCTCTCTCTCTCTCTCTCTCTCTCTCTCTCTCTCTCTCTCTCTCTCTCTCTCTCTCTCTCTCTCTCTCTCTCTCTCTCTCTCTCTCTCTCTCTCTCTCTCTCTCTCTGCCCACCAGTACACGTGACATGCCTGCCTGATTTTTGGTACCAACCGAGAGTTATTTTTTGTTACCAACCAAGAGTCCTTCTTAGTCCCAGTTTCACATTGTCACATCAGGTCCAGAGGTCTATGCATTGGTTTTTCATGCAGGTGCTTAAGGTTCAACACCCAGGGGAGGGGCATCTTTTGTCTTCTGCTATGCTGATGTTAAGTCTGGAGAAATTGTCCCCACCACTTTTTCGAACCAAGTGACGCCCATGCCTAAACAAAGGTTTTCCTCAACTCACCTGAAAGCGACAATTTTCATGAAAAAGGAAGGAATTCTTATAAAAATCTACAAAAACAAGAGGCTACTATTGCATCTTTATTTCAGGGTTTATTCAGGATGACGTCCCACTTCCTTGTTGGAGCCCACTGACACACCATGGTGGTCAGACCTCATGTCTCAAGTTTCTCTGTTGCCAAGGGGATACCAGTTCAATATGCAGCAGACCCTTTATAAATGAAACCACTCGAAACAGATGCCTATTAAGCACCCAGAGTAAGATGCAGAATTAGCTGGTACCTCACTAAAAGTGAAGAAAAATGATAATACATACTGTAGATTGTGAGTACATTAGGCAATATCAATTAACATGTTCTGCCACTGTACATGTTATTGTAAAAATGAATATTAAACTATGTGTTGGGATACATTTGACAGAATATCAATTGAAAGACATTTAAATAAAAACATTTAAATAAAAAATGTTTTTGGCAAATCCCCAAAATGTAATACATAAAAGAAGTTGTAGGTACCCAATACAAGGGTTTTTCATAGTCTTGGTCTTCTTGTTACTTCTGGCCTGGATTTCTTAACCACTGCTGTCTGCTTCAACTGGTTTTCCTTTAAAATAACATCAACAGTAAGGGTGTGTGTGTGTGTGTGTGTGTGTGTGTGTGTGTGTGTGTGTGTGTGTGTGTGTGTGTGTGTGTGTGTGATCCCTTAAGCTTCACCCTAGAGAAGGAATAATTCACGATTTCTTTATCGTAAATTTAACGTTAAAGAACTTTTTTCTGCAATTGTTTTTTCTGCAAACACTTACATTGAATATTTAAGAAATCTCTATAAACTATAAATAAAATAAAATTGTAATCAATTTCGGCAAATTTCTAATTTAAAGAAAATCTTTCTCCACTTTATTTTAAAATAGACAAACATCTGTGCTCAAAGGGGGACATGTGCATTACAAAACAAATATTTGAGGATTGCAAATAAATAACGCTTTAAAATACAATATAATAATAGAAAAGATAAAATGTTCAGGTTCAAGATCTAAACTTGATCGAAAGCGTTGATGGTCTTGATGAAGCAAAGCACCCAGAACTTGTATCAAATTGTATAATAATGTAGTTTGTGTATTTTAATGTAAAGCATATTCTAAATATAGATTAGAAGCTGAAAGAAAAACACAACACAGAGACGGGGATACCACAGAAATTATAGTCTTGTAATTCAATGTATTCACATTACAACATCCACATGGTTCAGTTTGTGACGACTTCTAATGATCTTCAAATATATTCACTGTATGATACATAATACCAATATAGGCACTTCCAGTAAGTCTGGCAATATTGAAGCTACAGTATAGTGTCTAAATTACAAAATGGTAAAAATAAATAATGTATATCTAAAAGAGTTTTTGAAGTTTTAAAATTTCTTTACTGTACAGCATATATGTATATTGTACAAAATGGAGCATCAACCTGCAAGAAAAGTAATTATTTAACGTTCACAAATACTGTGTATTTGGATAAAGTCTTCCTTGTGTAAGTATTAGTACATGTGGTAAGTGCAAGGTACTAGTGAGAAGAAAGCAATTATTTAATCATGTGTCAACTATATAAAAATACTCGTCTCATTTTTTTTTTTTTTTACATAATTGTAAAGCTCGTTTGGTTCCCATGGTTACAATTATGCTACACGTGTGAATAAGTATGACACTCAAATAAACCAATGAAAAAAAAAAGTACACGAACAAAACTGATATACTGGATCAGCTCAAATGCAAGTATTGACTTAAGACTGATGTGACTAGGGGAAAAATGCATATATAGTCCACTGAAAAAAGATCATCAACATACTATCACAGTGGACAGAATCCCATCGTCTTTAGTGATGAGAGACGTGGGATGAATGCTACTATTATTGTATTACTACTGTTGCCAGTGAGGATCTCTGATCTGCACGCTAAGCAGATCAAAGTGGAAGCACAAGGAGAAATATGCAATAGGTCCTTCTGCGAATAATTAGTTCATCTGAGAAGCATTGAAGAACTACATACTGCATCACTTTACCCTTCATTTTTTCACCACCTCTACTTGTGACTCATAGCCTCCTCTACTTAACAGTAAACGCTAGCTAAATACAGGAGTCACATTAGAGAGGCCAATGGAAGAATTCAAATGGACACAAACACACCATCTTTCTCTTTCACACACACTGTATACTGTCTCTATACATTCACAAAGGAGAGTTCGAGTTGATGTAATTGTATACTTTTAGAACCTGGTTGGTTGAAATATAAACAAGTGGAAGTTTCATCATCGCAAATAGTGATAGAAAAAAAAAGCGTTATTTTATTTTTAATGAATAAAATGTATTCATTGTGTCTGTAATGGTGATTATAGCTCATTAGAGAGGGGTTGCAGGCAAAACATACAAACAACAGCAGGCATGTTGTTTAGAATAAACAATGAGGGCGGCTACATGTGATCATTAGAGGCCAGGAAAAAAAGTCTGATTCAGCGGCTGCTAGCAAGTTTGGTCTGATATAAATGATTCTCTGTCCGATGTTTTTCTAATCAGTGAGTCGACTTCTGTGGCCTAAGCTGCCGTTCCTGAGTTCCTCCCCCCTCCCCACTGAGCCAGAGATAACAGGCCATTATGGATGAAGTGCGCTATTCACCACAGCCAGGAACATCGGGTGGTAAGTACGCTAATGCATGATCCGCAAGGACAAGATGTTCTACACCCAATGTTATTTCAATCACAGGAAGACTCCATTATGTCTAATCTACAGGATGTTCGATGTGCAGTTTTTAAAGAAATTCGATGATGGAGGAGAGCAATGGTACAGTGAGAGGAGATACCAGTGGATAATATATTCAGATGAGCATGTAGGTCATGAGAACTCGACAAGCTTATCACTGGATAATTAATTACTTATTGCCTCACTGCACTCGTGTGTGACAAAAAGTTGACCCACCAACTCAACTTCACTTATTCAACTCAAGATCTACCTACGGTTTCTCAAACACGTTTTTATATGCAACTGTGAATTATTAAAGCAAAGTGGAATACTCTTCAGAGACATTTTGAATGCTACTCCAGCTACTGCAAAGTTGGTTTTGTAATTGCTTTTCCTCATGGCTTCTCGTTGTTGAATGTAGGGTTTATGATTTGTGTTTTATATTCAATTTACCAATTATTAAGTCATGTTTTAGAAACAATGTTTTTATGTCTTTTGGAAACGTTTCAAGAGCTCTTTCTTTTTGTTGAATGAATCATTGATTTGAACAATTACAAATTTGGGGTAAAGATCGCAAAAACTAACATATTCACTTCCTTTTTCCCAGTGATAGTGAAACATAAGAAAACAACAACTCTAAAGATGTGCACATGTAAGTAAAAACTCTCAGGGAGTGAATGATTGAAAAACATTGGGTCATGGTTATTTCCAAGTGACAAATCTGATGCTTTAGTGCTTGAGTAAGTGATTCAATAACACATTATGCTGCAATTACCGTCAATTTGGCCATCACTGAAAAGGTAGCTTTTATTGCAATCCAATTAATGAAATAAAAAACATTATTTTTCTAATCGTTTCAGCCTTGCATGAGCACTTTGAATTACATTAACCTTGACTGCTGTACATGTCAAACTACATTTTTCTTGAGTGATAACATTTTTTTTATCTGAATGATTTCCCTCTGTATCATCACAGAAAAAATATGTGATAAATCAAATTGTAAATCCAGACGCTGGAGCTCTGAGAGAATGAATGTCGCCCTGAGGTGACGGGGGAAGAGTTCAATGTGTTTATCGGCTTTGTTGTGACATAAACTGCAGCCTTTTATGAACATATTCTAAACTCATGTACTATCCCTGCATATTTGTAACGTACTGTCCTCACAGGTGGTACAAATGTTTACTTTGAATTTCTACAGTTAAGGTTTTCCTGAGGGTTAACGGTCAGCATCATTTGCAGGTTTTTTTTACATAATGAGGAAAGTGTGTTGAGACTATAATACAGCACACTGAGTCCAAATACATAGTCAGAGAGTTATGGGTTGCAAAGATAATACAAAGGAAAGTGTATTAGTTAGTCTCCCTGATGTGTGGACCCTTTTCAAAGAATATTGTAGGATTTTCCATCTTAATTATTTTAGGTAATACATTTATGGTCCCTTTTTGTTGTTATCTCCCGTTATATTGTTCCTAGATACTTTGGTTGTATTAGTGTATGTTCTCTGTACTGACGTTCCCTTTTTGGTCTAGTATTGAGCACAAATTCATTTCCAGCCACCCTCTAATGCAGTCTTAGTGCAGGCCTTGGGAATACAACAATTAGGACAGTGAACCCTGTAAAGACCTCTATATCTATCTCGAGGCTGGAGACCAGAGATGGCACAAATAAATCGGATAAATATATCTATATCCTCTGGAGAAGAACTTATATAAACATGCAGACACACACACGCATACAAATACAGAATGTGAGGAGCCTCTTGTCTCTTTCCTTAAAGTAATATGACTATACCTATTGGTATAAAGTACTTACAGTAATTTGGCAACAAATGTAAAAAAAAAAAAAGATTAGTTTTCATATGCTTAAGCCTAAGGGTGAGTGATTTTTTTTGGCAGAAGTAAAAAAAAAAAAAGATGCCAATGTTCTTCAATCGATTGACCCTTTATAATCCATATATAGAAAAAGAAAACATAATATGGCCCATGTCTGACCTCAAAAACTCTTGCTAAAATTGAAACACAAGTACAAGTAACTGTGATGTCTATATATAATTGCATTCAGAAAATAATTATGTATAAATTGGCAGCGAATGTCTGCAGTCCCGTGTTACCACATTGGGTTGAGGTCTGTGCAAGCAGTCTTCCTCTTCTCTTGACAGTAGCAAAAGAGTCTGTATCCCAAAGTACACAAATGATCCTGTATTGCAATATGGAAGGCTCCTTTAAATGTTTGGTGAACCCAGATATTCAGATACAATGTGTAAAGCACATATTTCCCACCCTGTCTTTTGTTATGTATAGGCACACATTTCCCAAACATCTACAGTGTTGTGTCTAAGTGATGTGCTGGCAAAGATAGGAGTCAGTTGATAGGATTGGAAAACAAGAAATACTTTTTCACATCCTTGCCCTGACTGACGCCATATTTCCCATGAGCTGTTTCACTGTGGGTCCTCCTCCGCTCGTTCCTCTGCAGGTTTACAGTCTTCCTGCTCAGTCACGGGCCACTCCGGTTCCTCCACTCCCTCCTCTGGATCCTCTCCTTCCAGTAACTCCTCCCTGCTGCCTGGCTCCTCTTCCTCCTCGTGAATAGCCAGGATTGGCTCAGCTACATTGTTTAAATGGACGGTTTCTGCTCCCTGGCCCTGTTTCGGGGCCTCCTCTGCAATCACCTTCTTCCACATCTCGTGGTTCTCCATCAGATGGTGAGTGATCTGGCAGAACACTTTCCTTCTCTTCTTGGAAATAGCTTTCTCTGAAGACAATAGAAAGACATTGTGAAGATTTTCTTTTGATGAATTAATGTAAGTCAATGTAAGTCAATTATTCAATTGCAGATAGCAGCAAACCCACTGCATTGACTCCCTGAACATTAATTGTTCTCTCTGTCAAACTATGTGGTCACACATTTTGACAGAAGCTGCACAATTACAGGAGACCACTGTCACAGTGTCACACACGCACCACTCTCAAAGCCATTTAAAGGTCCCCTATTATACTGTTTTTCATCAATATATTATAGGTCTCAGATATATATAAAACATGTCTCTGAAGTGTTTGGCTCGAAATACCAAACAGATCACGCGTTGTAGCATCCCATAATCCCCTCTGTTTCAGCCCTGTTTCAAAAGTGCTGATTCTCTGTCTGTTACTTTAGATGAAAATAAGGAGCCACGCCCCTCTGAGAGATATTGGGTTTATAGTTTTTTTTTTTTTCAGACAGGTTTTTATATAAATGGATCAGGACAAAAAGAGTGTGAATCTTTTTTCCTGAAACTTTCAGAGTCTCTTTACACAGAGGGGGGGGGGACACATGTTGATGTAGAAGAGACATGAAAAAGTGGATTTTGCATAATAGGTCCCCTTTGAGATGTCTTTCCTCTCTGTTTCTTCATATGCTATGAATAATAAAGCTAGAAATCTAGATATGTTGCATAAATTATACATGCATACGACAACATGCAAAGTGTTGCTTGCAGGCTCCTGCAGAGGCTTACTAAAAATAAAACCTCACTTCTCTTCTGCTTTAATGTGCTCTCCTTGTTGCTTTGTGATCCAATGTTGAAGTGTAATGTATCTAAATCTGCCAAATAACAACATTTGTATTTTTAAGAGGGGAAACACTCTTGAATGTCCTGCTGTAAATTACATAATAAAATAAAATCCATACAAAGAGAATAAATGGCATTAATACAAAATGGTTATCATACAAAAGCAGGCATTCTAATTTGTTCTGGTCACTTCCAGAGCAGGCTTGGGCCCCTTGTTTAGTTATAAATCTTTGTTTTTGACCATAGTGCTTACGTGATGCCTCTGAGCTGGTCGATGCATCTTCCTCTGCAATATCCTCATCCTCATCCTCCTCCTCCTCCTCCTCCTCCTCCTCCTCATTCTCCGTTATCTCTGGCTCCTCTCCCTCTGGGTTGGGATCCACCCATCGTCCAGGAATGAGGAAAGCTGAGTCATAGGAGTTGCACAGCGGTCCCACAATGTGTGTGATGAACGACTCCTGGAGTTTGGCCAACTGTGGTGCCGCTCGGTCCATGAAGGGGCTGATGGGAAGGCCCTGGCTGGACTCCTCGTCGCCCTACATAAAGCATGAACCACATTAGTGCATGAAGGCCAATACATGGCGTGACACACATTTCAATACTTCAGTCATCAGGCCGGAGGGAACACGTGGGATAGATGTCACGCTTATCAATGTCCAAGCTGTTTGCTTTTCGATCCAAAACCCACAATGTATAGAAGGGGCCTGCTACACCTATAAGTAAGTATCAGAATGGCGTTATCATTTATTTACATGGTTTCTGACCGATACAAACACAAGAAGGCAGTGACCTTTAGCTGCTGTAGCAATAATAAAGGAAGTGAAAGAGGAAGTCCGGTAACTGTGTGTAGACAGATGAAGTCCAATTGGTTGGATCGGGAGGGAGAGGTCAAACTAACATAGCAATTTACCCAAGAGTTTTTTTTTTTAGCCTGTGTGAAAGCAACATTCTCAATTTATTTTAACGAACGTAGCCTTGGTGATCAAATGGACATAACATGCGTAATTGCTTTCCCTTACCTGTAGTGTGTTATACAGATTTGTGTGCATGTAAATGGTCTGAAAAACACTTAAATCCCAAATTTCCCCTCGAGTGAGTTTCTCTAGACATCACTCAAACTCTACAAAACCCTTTCATAAAGTTAGATATTTACCTTCTCACCTAATAGTGGGTGCAGTTTGGCTCTTTTGAAGAATAAGAATAGTAAACAATTGATACTGGAAATGTACCTGCCTGATAACATTTGAAACAGCTAAATAAAGAATATAGTATGAAGGCTGTGGAGCAGCAGCATGTGTGAGTCGGTGACGTCTGTATCGATGGCAATGAATAACAGCTATAACAAGGTTTCCTTGTTGTCTTGGTAACTGACCTCACGTGTCATCCCATACAGTTTACAGTAGCAAGCCTTTGTTCCTGTTCCTTGTAATGTACAGCACAATAACAGGCATCAAAAGGCGGTATCTGGGATTGATCTGCTAATTGTTGGTAAAGTGATATCAGTTGGATGTTGACTTGTGTTGCATTGCATTTATTGTTAAACTTTAACCCATGCATTTACCAAAGTATATTTATTTTAATTTTATAACAATTATTATAATTTATGTGGTTTGAGGGGGTTTAAGTATGGTTTTGTATGTTATTGTGTTTTACATGCATGTAGGGGCGTGGGGAGCTATGGCAATGTTAAGTGATAATACATCTCCCTTATATGTTGTTTCACTGCTAGCTTAATATGTTATTTTTCTCAATAAAACATAGGAGAAGCTGCTCTGAGATCCAGCTTCCTACTTCCTAAAAATATGTATTGCAAGGTTAGCTGTCTTTGAGATAAGCTATCCAAATAAATAAGACTGCTCATATTTGGTAGTAGGATTTACAATATATATATATATATATATTTAAGAGTAAAGCCTCTGTAAGCCCAGAGATTCATCCAAGATTCAAGATACCCAGATCTTAGGTCACACATCATAATCAATTTCAGAAAGCCTGGAAAACAAATCTTATCCTCAAGGCTCCGTCAACATGTTTTTTTGTGCTTGACGACCAAGTGTTTGTGTATGATGACGCTTTGTAAGCCTGAACAAGTTCTATATCGAGGGGGAGCTTAATTGTTTTGCTGGTTTTCTGAAGGTTGCTGGACTCTTAAGGCTGTCAGAGTAATCAGGACGCTGCTCCACCTGAAGGACAGTTGCCTGGGCAGCCTGCCTGCGTCACTACACATAGCAGCCCTAAAACTATTGTCAATGAAGAGCGTTTCCCCTGCAAGGCTCCTACAATCTGTTTGTCCTGTTTTTTAAGTAGCGGGGCACAAAATGGCCCCAGCTAGACTCAAAGGCCATTAGGAGAAATTAGCAAGTATTCAGAACCAAGTGGACAAAGTATATCGGAGGTCATTGAGGGCGGCATTAGGCTGAACGGATAACTATTCAGGTAATTATATAAGCACTGTACACTATGGCAACTTTATTGGGTACACAATGTACAATGTAAGGCAATCCAAGGCAGCTATTTTGCCATAAAGCCTTCTTTTAACATGCCTGTATAAGTAATTCAATAACACCTTTTAGCATTGTCGTCATTGTAAATGGTTGTGTTGTACTGCACTGAATACTTTTCGGAGGTGTTTCTGTAAAACCATTTTTTTACGTAGAATTTATAGCAGAGCTGTTGTGTTGAATTTATATAGATTGGACAGGTGTACGAAATACTGTGGCCATATCTTACTGTATGTTATTGTAGTAGTAAAATGAGGGAACACCTTATTCACTGACAACAAAGTCAGACATACAAAGCGTCCATGTGAATCCCAAGCCCATTCTTACAGCCAAAACTAAGACTCCTTTCCTATTTAACCACTGCATGGCTCATGTAAGTAACATGGACATTCATAAACCAAAAGTAGAATACATAATGAACAGATGCATACATTTCATCATGAATTCATGACAGCTCCTCACACAATAGCAGCTCTCGGGGGGAGCTCTGCCATTAATATCTTAATACGTCAAAAAGATTGAATGGAAAGAAAACGCCTGAAGCCAAAAGTCTACAGGGAGGAAGAAAAACATATAGAGGAGGTGTTTCAGTTTTTACTGTCTTCTATGGAGTCTGAGGAAGAACAATTATGTTGTCTGTAAAACTTTAAATGGTACAGTATTTGACACATTTGACATTTGTCAAAAATGCAGTTCTGCTCCTCTGCTCCAAGAGAAAAACGATTTGATACATTCAAGCAGTCTAAATACATTTACCAGCTGTGTAAATATGTTTGTCACCAGTTAGATTTTAGGTCTGAAGAATTATGTGATCTGAATAAGGGTGTTCTGTTTGGTTCTCATTAAGGATCTAATTAAGATGAAGGTTCAGAGGTTGGCTTTAGGGTTAAAAGTTCCAATTATGTTTAAAGTAGGAATGTTAAGTGTAAGCCTCCCTATATGATACATATGTTTTACTCTTTTATATAACCGTAAATATGTTTTGACTACAATAGCTTATAAAATTGTTTATTTGTTCAACATATTTTGAGTTGTGGGCTATGACACATGGGTTAGTCAGTATTTGCAGCACGAGGAAGGTGTGTTGTTTGCGGGATGGACTAAAAATAAACTCTTATATATCTTAGTGTTGTAGGAGTACTGTTATTGATCATGTGTAACAGTATACTGTGCAGGTGTTTGTTTTGTTGTGTTCCCCCCTGCACCTAAACATGACAGGCCATTGATCTTTAGTTTACCAAATACATTGGGTCCCCATCAGAGACGTTTCACACACCTGTTCGTAGAATTCGTTGACGATGCCCTCTGTCCACTGCAGATGCAGCTCCTTGCACTTCAGAGGCCCGTTGATGTCGGCCAGTTTGATGCACATCTGGCACACCAGCAGCCTGTCATTCTCATTAGACCAGTCAATACCCGTGGAGGGATCATCACCCACCTAAGGGATCACAAAACACACATGTTGACATGTCACAAATTCAAATGTGTAGGCAGACGAAGCATGTGATGTACAGATGTTATGTAAATGTGATGCCATTTATCTGTTGTTCAAAGATTGTGTATTCATAGTAATGTCTGGAGGGTTTATCAATCAGGGAGAAGGCACACAGCAGCACTGGAATACAATTTAAAAGACAAAAGCAATGAGGACAATAATATGTGCATACTTTCTTTTAATGCGCTTAATCCAAAACTGTAGAGGTTTTAATTAATATGCAATAAATATGTCAAGACCATAGACTGTTTATATAGGTTATGACCAGTTCTTATGTGTATGAGATATTATTAATGATGAATTCCTCTGAATTGAATCAGTGAAATCTCTTATTATCAACTCTACCGATGTGGCACGCTCACACACATGAAGTTTAAGCTTGCATTTATCTTAACAAGGTTTGAATCAATTTGTTATCTCTAGTTATCTTTAATGAGCTTCAGATCTGAAGAAGGAGCAGCCCTGACTCCCAGAGTCTTATCTAACCTAATAATCCAGTAGCTAAAGAGATCAAGTATGAAACTTAGTACTTCACAGAAAGCTAATTTGCTTCCAGGAACAGCAGAGTGGGGTGCACAACAATGAGAGAGACATCGCTGGTACTTTTGCTGCCAAGGCCGGAGAATCAATGCTTTCTGGCAGGTCCTGGACATCGAGCACCACGACTGTACTAATGCTCACAATGGAAAAACCCAAATCCCTCATCCAAAGCCAACATTCTGTCTGCACTTAAATGAGTTCTTGAAAAGCTGCAGGGCGCTTTGTGTTGTTGACGTCAGCTTAACATACTGGAACTGCTGAAATGTTCTGCACAAACAGACTTGTTCTTTGGAAACCGCTGGATATTTCCCCTTCAATAACGTTTATTTTTTAGTAAAATAGTTGAGGTATGAATGTATGGCAAGCCCCTCTAAAGGATACATTTGACTCAACTAGAGAATACTGCTGCCATGTGAAGCTACATGACAATTCGTTATGCAATCAAATCTTGTTTCCAAGAAAAATAAAATAAAATCACTATTCAACGTCAATAATTCACTTTATACTATGTAGACCCAGTGTTGGCTTAAAACGACTGTATAATCCCTAAAGTACTTATTAGAGGCCAAATCAACTAAATGAGAAGTTTTTAAATGTATGATGTTGTCAAAATGAACATTTTCCAGTGATTTTATCAACCAAACCCGTAAACTCTTCACACCAGAAAGTCACATCTTTTCAGTACTTAAAGGTGGGGTAGGTAAGTTTGAGAAACCGGCTCGAGATACACTTTTTGTTATATTCCATGGAATGCTCTTAACATCCCGATAGCGATGAATATCTTAAGTGCTTTGAAAAAAACCATAAAAAAATGTCATCTGTGGAAGCCGTAGTACTGTAAAAAGCACCACCAATCATTTTAGCCGGCCCGGCTAAAATAACTGGATGGCCTACCTGCCTGTCAGCCTTCCATCTGTGCACAAACTTATCTTGTGCCCTCATTGGTCATGTGCGCGTTCGTGTGTGTTGGAGGAGGGGCTCTGTAAGGAAGTGGAAGATTTTTTCCGGCTGTGTATTTTCAAATTCTAGCGCACTCGAGCTGGTTTCTCCAAAATGTCCTACCCCACCTTTAATGTCAAACAATTGTGTTTTTAGATCTACCTTGGCATTGAACTCAGCTAGGAAGTCGAAATGTTTCTTTAGATCAGTGGCCAATATGGCCTCAATGACCAGGAAACGGAAACGCTTGAACTCCCCATGGTCCAGGTTGACGAGGAAGTTGAACTCTGGCCGCGACATAAAGAGGTTCCAGGCTGAGGCTGCGTGGTGGTTTTCCAGAACCGATCGATCATTGTAGAGCACTGCCTGCAAACACACAAGCACTTTACATAAGCTTTGACTAGTATAGAAGTTCCTTTATTTGAATCCAGCAATCCTGCACATATATTACTAACAAAGAGGGACTTGATGATCCAGATTATTTAAATGTTGCTGGAATGTAACTCAGGAGACATTGAATACAACATAAGAATTTAAAAACACATCACGCTTGTACCATGTTCAAGAACATTATAGCCACTGTGCTATATATATATAGATGGATGGATGGATGGATGGATGGATAGATAGAAAGAGCAATTTTTCTTTCTTTGATTTTATGACAGCTTTTTTTTGGGTGATATGTCTAGACAGATATCCTATAAACTACTCAATAATAGATCTAAACATAACGTTACAAACACAACCACAGCACCCGTCAATTTCTGACAAACAATGAGCAGCTACTGTAACTGGTGATGGTTTGATTATGCTGACAAAGATGATTTGCCTCAGCGTTGCCAGTGCATTTTGGTGGTGCTAGTCAAAGTGGAGGAAAAACGGCCAATGAAATAATCATCTTGTTGATTACAAAGAAGAACTGAATCTAACAGTAAATCAAGCAAATTAACTTCTACTGTCTTTGATACATCTGTTTTCTACAATAGGGTGCGCACGAGTACCTGTGGGGCGCTGGTGGCCACGAGGAAAGCGTTGGTCCGCCCAGGGTGGTCGTAGTCGTGCATTGCGGCAGCCACGTAAAGGGCCATGAGCTCCAGAGCAGGTATGAGGCCTGACAGGCATCCGTAACCATCTTCTGACACAGTGTAGGTCTTTGAAACCAGGAAGCCCATATGACTGTGTGTTATTCCACTGTCGGAGTCTAGCCGCGGGGGAACAGACAAAGGGAGGACGGTGAAGAGCAGGGTGGAAGAATTTACACAAACACAACTGCACTTGCATGTGCCTTACCACACACGCACACAATCTGGAGCACAGACACACACTTCAAATCCACTTATATGTGGATCAAAGGGATGCCCTAGTAAGGCATACAAATGAGGTTATGGAAATATGGGTGAGAAGGAACTCTAATCTGCCTGCAATTTCATGCTGTTCTAGACTTCAAATAGTTTGTGATACATAAATGCAAGTGCCAAAAGCCTGAGTAAGATAAGACAAACTGTGAGAAGGATAAGAACACACACTCCTGAAGGTTTGATGCCCAGACATAAATAAGATGGCTCACGGAAAAGCTGCAGGCTGATGGAAAAATCTAAATAAAAAAGTCTGGCCTAGATATAAACAGATTTTTATGGTATTAAATGGCTTAACAAAAGTTTAGAAAAAACAAATAAAAGGGCATTGAGAGCTCATGTGTTCCTATGTGACATTTTCCATCAGTGTGAACTGATAGATTCACATACACACACACACCAGCACCCCCACCAGGACAAATGAATGTATGTAACCATGGACACACCTGAGTCACTGGCTGATCCGTGGTCAGTGATGAGGCTCGGCAGGCCGGGGACAGGCTGCGTCGTGAGGTACCAGACTGCATGAAGCACATCTGTGGCGTGGATTCTGTTGTGATCTGGGTCAGGAAATACAAGTCAGTTCATTGTGTGTCATCTTCTCCACCAGGGTGCACTGTGAGGTTGCTTATGTAATTCCATAAACGCTGAACACAGTCGTATATGTTTGATGGTATGACATTTCCCTCTAGTGGCTGCACTCAGTGTTGCAGCTGCAGTAACCATAACCTGAAGGAAGAGTAAAAACATGAGCAGAGAGATATTAAAGCTTACATGGTATGTCTCTGTAACCATTCTCAAGGGCATGGAAGTAGTTCATGAATTCTTTTACTGGGATCTTGAAGGTTGCAAACAGGCCGGTGTCTTCGAAGAGCCTGTACGAGACCTGAAACAGGAAAATGAAATTGTCTGTGAACATCATCAGACGTGGATGATCAACAAATTACATTTATAAGGGGTAAAATCATACAAAAAAAGGAAAGAAAGGAGGAAATTGTAATCAGTAAATATTAAAATGTTGACAAGTCTATTCATTTATGAATGCAAAAAAGTCACTTTGTATCTTCTCACTTTTTATTACTTTCAAGCAAATTTCCCCATCATTATGCAAATATTAAACTGTTTTATTGTCACTCTGGCCGACCTCTGAGCTTTATCGTTGTCGCTCTTAGATGTGCTCACCTGACTGAGGATCCGTCCACATTTCCCGTTGGTCTTCTCCATCAAAGTGAAGATGGGGAAGTTCCAATTATTTAGCTGACTCATCAATGGCTCCAAGTCCTCCATTACTAATGGTTCTGGAGCCAGAATTGGTTTGTCCTGGGCCACAAGATGAAAAGCAGTAAGACAAATTAATTCAATGATAATACGTTTTATCTTTCTCGTGTTTCATTAGCAGAGTTATATTGTATGGGAAGTCATTTCGCCTGGCCTCACCTCTGGAGGTATTAGTGGGAGGAGGATGACGTTTTGCGCAGGGTTCTTTCCTTCTTCTGCGTCCTCCTCTGTGTGTGCTACATCACTGCTGTCACTGTGGTTGGCTTCGTGGGTGCTATCATAGTCTGATGACGCCACCATTGGGTCCTCTGCTAGAGAAAGAGAAAAAAACAAAGAGATGTCACACTGTAGCCCAAGGGAAAAAAGATAGACTGATACACAACATCAGTCTTTTAAGGGTGTTTAATCTAATTCTCTGGTATATCCACTTCCTCTAATCCCCCTTTGTTCTATACGTTTTCTGCAAGTCTGAGAGATGGTGAGGGCTCCTATTCATTATCAATGATGCATTTCAGTGATTGCAGGCCTCTAACTCAAAGCATGTGTAACAGAGTATCTGCTGGCAACAGTGCTTTATACAGTGGTCTGAGTATGTATCATCAGAAAGACTGGTATTTATGTATTTACAATGGTGGATCTTAAAATGTATTGGTTGTTGAATACTAGTGCAAATAATATAATAATGAATGTGATTGCTTGCCCTAACATTTTAAGTGACTGAAACCGAAATATGATGTTCTTCGTAAAATAAAAAAATATAATTATCTTGAAATTAATTGATTTGAATAAAGAAAATGATCATAATATAAATATATAAAGACATAATATAAATTGGTTATATAGCTTGTACTTTTCCTGTCACACCACTACTAATATAGAAGTTATTAATTAAGACAGACATTTGTTTGTATGTAGAAATAATCTGTATTTTTGCTGTTTTGAATATCTCTTATGTACAGCACATTGTAACTGGCACAGAAAGAGGGAGTTACAACAACTCTACAATTATTTTGTATGGACCTTTGTTGTATATAATTCCCCTACCCTCTTTCTGTCTTTCCATCAAAAAAAAAAAAGTAAAATACACTGTGTCGTAGTACGTATGCCAACAAACACTCTTGCACTCTCTAAGCAGCTTGGAGGTGGTGGTAGAAATAGTAAGGAAGAAGACTGAGAGCATACCTGACCGTGGTATCCTGTCTCCCTTGTCCAAAGACCCCTCCCCATGGCTCAGTCTGATGTACGGTCTCCCACAGCTGTAGACAAGAGGGGTTTAACAGGTTACAGATAAAGTGAACAAAAAAATGGTTTTCATGTAACTCCATAGCAAATGACGTCCCCTGTCGTAATGCTGTTCTTCTCCATGTTTGACGACTACATATATACAGTATGTCAGAATCAATACACTCAAATCATATTTTAAAGAAAAACATGTTCAAATGTATGGAGACTACACACTGAAATGTAAAAAATACAACAGTTTAAGCTCAGTAATTAACATCCAAACAAGTTTTCAACATATGCTAATGCTATCTTAAATCTGTTTTGTAGTTTTGAAGGATAAGATGAATTGTGGGTGTTTATTAAAAGTCTTAGTAATCTGTTTGGTTTGTCAGAACTGATGGTTTGAAATTCCAAATCACCACAAAATGTTAAAATACAAAGGAAACAGGGACAGATTATAGCAGAATGTGCGAGTTTTTGCCGGCTGTAGCTGCGCCAAAGAATTGGGAATCATGCCATTCATCACATCTGTCTTTGATGTCTAACCAGTCGGCAGAAACTGTCAAGAAAAAAAACCTAATGGGAATCCTACTGTGCTGTCCTCACATGAAACAGGCGTTGTACATATGCTTAAAATAAAATACTCATTAATGAACTTAATGGATGAACACATTAACACGATGCAAAGACGATAAACAACACAACACATTTGAAACAGTTGTAATAAATGACTTCATAAATGGAGCCCACCCTCTTTGGGCTTTATGATATATCAGTGTCAGCCTCCCTCGCTGCAGATTTTCCATGTTCCTCCATTGAGGCCACTGTCAGGCTGTAGGTGGTTCCAATTAAAATACCTCTCCCTAAATGTTGTAAAACCTGCCTTCTCAGGGCAGGAAATGCCTGCCGTTAGAGCATGGTGTCACAGGGAGCACAAAGCCCTGTAGTGTGTCTATCTCCTTCTGATAAATTGTTTCTTGAACACTTTTGAGCTGTACCCACCCTGCCTAATGGTCCTGAGGCCCCAACAAAGGCTGTTCTGTTGTGTTTGCATGGCCAGGTTGGACCACTGTGTGTAATGCCTAGCAGGTGTGGAATATAAAATAGTTTGATAGTTTGGCGGGCGAACAGTTACTACATTATTGTCAGGGGGGTCTGGGCAGGCAGCAGCTCTTGGCTTAAAAGGTTTACTTTTAATGAAAGCTGAAGAGCTGGCAGACACTCTTCCTATTCTGCTAATGCAGCAGAATAACCTCGGCTACTGACATTGAGCCTTAAGCAGTGAATGTAAATAAAAAAGGCCGACTATTTTCACTCGGGGAATCTGTCAGTCACGTATCAAGTGACTCTGCTTTTATCACAAAAAGCTTCTTAAGAGTAGTAACAGTAGTTAGCACTGTGGTTACAGTAATGTAACTGACCCTGTGAGATATGCCTACAGTATGAAGACAAAATACACTCTGCTGTATCTTTTGTTTCCACCCTGTGTCAAAGAAATGGCTTTTAAATACTAAAGATTTGTTTGGATTAGAACCTTAGGGTTAGGAGAAGAGCGTGGTTTCAATTAGATACTGAGAAACTAAACCTGCCCTGTCTCATTTGTTAAATCAGTGAGGAGTTTTGAACCAAGGACACAAAGGTTTTAAGGGTCTCAAATGTATTGATTAACAATCAAAACATTGATTATGCTGTATTGATTACTGTATTTAACCATTAACCTACAATTTTCAGATACGTTGATTGTATTATTTCACTATCTTTTAATCTGCTTATTATTTTCGTTTGGTTCATTAAGTGTCAGATTATAAACAGGAAAATGATCCCAAGACTTTTCAAATTGCTTCTTTGTGATTTCAATACACCAACATAGCCAACAACGTACATTTAATTTTCAGCAAGAGGGATGTTCCAATACTCCGATTTCAGAAAATCATAAATACTATGTGTATTTCTGAATGACTTTTTCTGTCAATGGACTAGCTGATTTTTCATTAGCTCTAAATAATTTCGTTATAATCCTGTAGTGACTTGAAAGAGACTTTTCCAAAATAAAATAAACATTTTAGATTTAGGACGATTTTACGTTTGTTGTGCTTATGCTGACACAAATATCATCCTGCAATGTTCCGAATTGGTTTTCTTGTCTACACATTATTTAAATATACAGTAAATACATCCAAAGTGAACTGTCAGCAGTCTATTTGGAGTCTTTCTCTGAAGTAAATAATGACTCCTGTTCTCCTGGAAAAGCACCTTTCCCCAGAATAAACCTTCATCAAGTTAATTATCCTGCTAAAGGAAATACTGTGTAAATTGCTATATTGTCTGTTTTTTCAGCTTTCTCCTTCCATGTAGCTTATCTTAATAGTCTCGAGCCATGCAATAACCCGCTCCCTTCCCGCCACAGTTAACTCCCAGATATTAAACTCAACCACTCACGGCAGGTTGACAGATTAACTTTGGTTCAGAGCCCGAACGGACAGTGTCCAAGCCACGATAAACAAAGCAGTCATTATTTCTGCTTCCAGTAATCTACCTACTCTCAAGCCAGATGACGTGAAGAAGATAACAGCACAGTGGCCGGGGCTGAGAGAAATGGAAGGTATTCAATCGGCCCCCTTTTTACCGGCTGTGTGAGATAAAAAAGCAGATATTGTAGCTTTGAAGTTAGTGTTATTCCTTCTTAACAATGTACGTCATTGAGAGCTGACAAGATGGAAAAAGGAGGGAGAAAAAAAGAATCCTAATGTCCTAATTAAGATCGTACAGATTTGATGATGGAGCAGAGAGAAGGCAATTGAATCCATGTGTTCATTTTCTCCCCTCCATGTGTTCTCACTCTCAGTCCCTCTACCGCAAACCTCTCACTTTCCTAATGGGACTCTTTACATATCGAGTATGATAACTGGTGTTTTGTTTTGTCTGTATGAAAAATCACATGTTACTGTGTTTCAGATCTTAATTCCAAATAAAAGTTATAGTCCATCAATTAAAACAAAACTCCATTCTACTTCTCAAAACTGGAGAGATGTTGTGATGGCAGGTGGCTGATATTAAAGTAGCATCACAGGTTAACAGTAGGTTAAATAATTGTCAGTGGACATGAGACCTGTTTTTGTGTTTTCAAGCTGGACACTTGAGTTTTACCAGCTCTCTTTTTTATTTTAGACATCTGTATAAAAAGCCAGATGCCTGAAACTAAATTGAAATGAAGTGTTACTCGGAGGAGAGCCCTCTCAGCTGCAATAAACCAAACCCAGAGACTCTCTCTGCTCTCCAATTGTGTCTGTACAACCCCTGCCAGAAGAAGGAGCTGTGACAGTGTTTCTAAGTGTGTGTGTGTGTGTGTGTGTGTGTGTGTGTGTGTGTGTGTGTGTGTGTGTGTGTGTGTGTGTGTGTGTGTGTGTGTGTGTGTGTGTGTGTGTGTGTGTGTGTGTGTGTGTGTGTGTGTGTGTGTGTGTGTGTGTGTGTGTGTGTGTGTGTGTGTGTGTGTGTGTGTGTGTGTGTGTGTGTGTTAACTGTGTGATGTTCTGGTGACTGGGGAGAGGCCCAGGTGTTTGTTTATACTCACACCACCATAAGTGGCCATAGCTGGGGCCTGCTGCTGGGCAGTGCTGGGCTTTAAGACCAGGCGACGGAGCTTTGTGTACAGAAGCTGCTCAGTGTGCTTACATTTACAGAACGTGTTCAAGTATCACACTGTCATTGTGCAAACACACCCAAACAAGCCACTGGCAGACGCAGCCCACACAGTTAGATGGCTCGAGACGCAAAAGAAAAACAGTGTGCAGATTATTCTTTTTTCAGTAAACACACAGTTGCAGTGCACAATATAATAAAAAACTGAGTGTTGAATTTACCATAGTCATCAGTTGTATCATTTTCTATGAGTTGTCTACTATGTAGTCTCATTTTTCAATATGGATAAACAGTGAAATGTCTACCTCAAAATGAATGGATGTCACATGTCACTTCCCTTCAGAGAAAACATTCAGGAAACTTGAATGAAAGAAAGCCTTATTCAAAATGTTGTTTGGTGTTAAGTTATCTAACTTGAACCTTTCAAATCTGTGTAATGTGCTTTCTTAGTGGTCAGCAAAGAATGTCCTAAATGCACACAGATATGTGCAAAATATGCAGGGGAAATCCCCCTACAGCAGACTTCAGGCCAGATCATACATACACAGAAACAGAGGGAACATTGCATCTTTAATATGCAATTACTGGGTAGATGAAAACATACAATACATGGAGAAAAGTACATGGAAACTAGCACAAAGTACTTCATCTGCTGCGATATAGGTCACCAGGAAAGCTTTCCACAAGCTTTTTGAGTAGGATTTGCTCCTATTCATCCACTAAAGTTTTACTGATGTTGGGCACTGTCTTGAGAGATAACTCGCCATAAAGGTTATGTCGGTTTAATTTATCCAAATAGTCTTTGATGGGTTTAAGGTCAGGGCTCTGTGCAGGGAAACCCAGAATCCCTCCTCTGAAAAACATATATTTGCAGACATTGTCTGTGCATTGGTCTGCCATGCTGTAAAAGGAGGTTTTCCTCAAACTGTTGCCACGAGGTTGAAAGCAAACTACTGTCTGTATTTAGCTAAATGAAGGTTTTGCCATTTGAATAAAGGGACTCAAACTGCCACATACTAATGGCCTTATAGTGTATTTAGGGTATTAGGTACTGTATATCAAACACTTTGTATCACTCCTTAGAGCAGGACAGTTGTGGGCATAAGAGTCTATTTGTATTCCATACACATTATTTTGACAATCATTCACCTTCTACTGTATGTGCAAGGTAAACTGTCATGGAAGGAATATTGCATTTGCATCCAACACTACAAGGGTATCAGATGAGGGCAATAAACTGAGCAAATACTTGAGGTGTGTCTATCTACCATGAGCTGCAGGCATTGTCTCTCTCACATCTTGGCTTAAACAATTACCTTGGAAGAGAGGAACATCACGTTTTTACGGGAACAGTTAAGTCTTACGGAGCAGCCATAATCAGGTAATAGCCTCATGAAATACATCTCCTCAAAACATAAAAATACTTTGCAACACACAACCAAAGGCTAGAATCTTTTACTGGAAAACCCTGGATGAAGAAACTTAAGAAAGACATCATTTCATCAAGCTGTCACTGACTATATAAGCTTTATCAACTCAGTACAAAAAGTTCCCGTTCTTCATTTGGTCAACAATAACACCTGGTGCCCTGTGATTGGATATGCTTCTAAAATCCAAACAAAACAGAAACATATGGCAACTCTTCTGGAAACATCACATTTCCGCAAAACTATCCACCCAAAATGAATCTGTAGATTATTACGAGGTGGGGAAGAGGGCATGCAGTTGCAGAGTCATGCCTCATTTAACAGCAGTGGGCTAGTTTTTATCTAAAAGTTCACTCCCTGTTCTTGGAGTAAGTATGTGAGCGAGCTGATATAAAGTGAAAGTTCCAGACATGAAGCTTGTAGTAAAAACCAAGCTAATGAGATTTTAGTGTCTAAAAAATACGTTTTTTTATTTTGGTAATAAATGTGCTTGTAGAATTAAACATGTCTCAATACTATACTATATACTATAATACAAAAAAGGTTCACCTTTTGTTTTGATCTTCATGCTGTGTTTTGTATTTGCAGCATTTTTTATTTGCAGCATTTTGCTTATGCAGCGCTTTGAGTATGTTGGTGAACTTTCTCTAAATGCTGCACATGTGTTGTGAAGATGGTTGTATGTGTTCTTGCACTTTAGTGTTTTATTATTTGAAACCTTTTTTGAAACGGCAGCGTGTTTCTCCCAATGAAAATGTTTTGGGCCGTGACAATATACAATACTTTAATATACAGAAAGGGAGATACAATAAACATATATTGTTGTCATTCATGTTTCAAATAATACTTTCAACTGATTCTACTAAACAACATAAAGGTTGTAACTGAACTGCTTGAATCCATGCAGTAAAGGCTGTTTTCTGAGTTGTTTGAGTCAGACATCAGACATGGCTTTCTGAAGCTCTCTCTACACATTAATAATTTAGCCCCAGCCCCAGTTTAAAAATGTGACAAAAGTTATTTTGCAACATATGAAAATAAACTTTGAACAACAACAACACACACACGTTAATACACAAAACTACAATGTGTAACTGTCCCCCTATGTGGAACTCGACAAGCAACTGTGATGCTACATGGCAGCACAGAGACTCAGAAGCGTCAGTGTTTGCAGACAAGCGCTGTTCTCCATCAGAAGACTTTCATGCCTGTGATACACACTCGACAGGGGAGAAACTGAATAAAGTAGATGAAACACAAAGACACTCTTTCTTGTTGAGACACAGTTAATATTTAAAGATGTGGGGTATGTGCTGTCTGCTACAGCATCACATCATAAGAATATGTTATGCACAAACTAATATTCAAGTACACACCAACACCTTGAATGTTTTTCAGGCTGAATCTCCATTTTTCACCTCTTTGACATTCATAAAAGCAGAACAAAAGCTGTTCTAAAATAATCCAGACATAATGTCACAAAATTACAAAGTAATTGTAAGGAATGAAATCTCTGCACTGATCACAGTAAATGATGCTGAAATATGTTCCTCAGTAATCATCATAACGACTCTCATAAATTAAGACCCTGTGTTTATTCTAGATTGAACGCATCAATGTGAATTACTAGCCAAACAAAAACAGCAGAAACGAGATATTTGTTGTGTTTTCAACAATATGGGCCGGTCTTGTCTTGACATTTCTGGTGATTCACTGCATGTGCATTAGTCCTGTCTGAACACCATGAAATAACCAGGCCAGATTTTCTCAACAGCTTTTGCAAAACAAAATGCATCCAAGCATAAACCCCACCACACAAAGACATGCTTTCATGAACACAAAAACACAAATGCACACAAACACTCAGCATCACTCACACATATCCTGTAATCTTCTTCATCCCACAACAGCTTTCACCAAATCATAATGTAAGTTCTGTAAAGCCTGATCCTCATGCTATCATCAGCACTTCTGTGCTGAGAGTGGATGTGTCTTAGTTATTCAGGTTAATGCATTCGCCTGTGGGGCATATTCCCATTCTGGCTCCCATTGCACACACATCCTCTTCCGAACTGCTGCGCCATTACTGTTCACTCACGCTGTCTTTGGTATAACTACAGCCACACTGCTGGGAATAAACCTCTTAACCTTCAAAAGGATGTGTCATACTGGGGCAGCCATAGCAGGAGTCCCTCTTAAATCATTTGTTCCACAGTTAGACCTACAGTGCAGTGTTGCACAGTAGGACCTTATTAGTGCATTGAAATACAACATTTTAGGGATTTTATTCTAAAGAGCTACACATAATACAGCAAGAAAATAGAAGGAACAAATAGTACTGTATGAAGCACAAGTAAAAGCGTGTTTCTGAGGATAGAGAAGTGTAGGCTGAGAGAGAAGTGGGACATCAGTCATTCAGCTGTAGCTCAGGTACCTGCAGGTGAGTGCTTCATGGAAGGGTTTGATGCTGGCGCTGCGGTCCCTTCGGACAGGTCCGGGCTCGATGGACGGCAGGCCTGTGGCGGAGGTGGTGGTGGTCCACGTGGAAGAAATCCTCCTCAGAAGACCAGGGTGGAGACTCCGCCTAATACGCTGCAAACACAGAGAAAAATGTGTGAGATGTCCTATTTAACATTGTATTATGTATAACTTCTGTGAAATGCCTTGTAAACATGCTGCCGCAACAAACACAATGTAGACATTTGGGATCAATAAATATAATCTAAAGATATTGACACTTACACACACAGTTACTAACTACACTAATACACCCATCTTTTTATAAATAAATAACATCCTAACCCTTAATTTACTGCCGTAATAAACAAAAAAGGCATATCTGTAATTGTGTTGGCGCTGAAAGAGATAAGGTTATTGCTTTTACGCTTTGTCTGGAGTCAAATTGATCATCTAAATGAAACGGTTGTTTTCAGGAATCTGCCCAAGATGAAACAAAGGATTCAGCTGATAAAACCTTGAAAATGTTTCATGATTTGAGGCATTTTAATTGTTTTAGCTCTTTGGATCCAAAGGGAATCAACACAGTCATGACTGAATGGAGGACATTTGCAGGCAGCTGTGGCAATGATGCCCCTCATGGCACAATGTTTAATACTTTGTGAGTATTGCATTGCAGAGATACACTTCATCAAAGGGAATCTGCCTCTCTGCTTCTCATTCTCTTTGTGAGTTTCTTATGTTTTGTTCTCAGTCTCTTTCTCTATCTGTCTTTTCTGTGCTCTTTCTCTGGGGTTCCCACTGGTCTGTGCCCTTGTGCTGCCTCCATCTGCTCAGTGCCATGCAGCAGCTTGGCACAGCAGCGCTAAACATGGCAGGCTCTCTCCCTCAGTGTTCTGCAGGATGACCTAGTAAAGAACGCCTCAGAATCCTGAATGAGCCCATTCACAGCAATGCGTCATGTACTGAGTGCAAGCTTACACACTCCTACGCGCCGCTGGTTTAGGTCACTTCAACGGACATTTCACTGACTTCCATTTACTCTGGAGCCTTTACCATAACACTTGTTCATGAACAATAAGATGGCATGATTTTAATTAGATTTGTAGATTATCCAATTTGTAATGGCACACATGCGTGCAGCAGCCACACCTTACATAAAATACTGCACGAACAAACAAGATTTTAGACCAAGTTTCTCCCCAAAACATCCTGTGTGTAATGGTTTTGTGATGAGAAAATGTATTGTATTGTATTTTGTATTGGATATTAAAACTGCATAAAAATATGCCATTAACTCTCGACTTTCAAAGCGGAATAATGATGCTGTGGCACAATTTTGAAGCAGCATATTTATATCCTTTGATAAAAGCCCTGTAGACACACACCAAAAGTAGAAACACACGAGAGAAACACACACATACACACATCCCCATCGGCACCAACAGCATGGTAAAAACCAGGCCATCTTCATAAAAAAAGAAAAACAGAAAACAGAACTAAATCCGATTCCTGCTGCTGTCAGTTTTAATCAAGGTCAATACATGGTTAAGTGAGAAATTGTAAAAGTTTAAACATTTTATAATTAGTCGTGTGTTTTGTTATCCATGTTTGATACAGTATGGGCTTCAGATCTAGTGGCTTTTTTTACAGCACATAGAACATGCCATGTGTTTGGTTTTTGGAAAAGTGCTTGAATCAGTATGCATCACGATGGACATCAAACTCTTGGCCAGGAGGCAGAAAAGCAAGCGCAGGGCTTTCCACTCCGCACTAACCACCTTCACTCCTCCTGAGCCGGCACGTGGTCTCTGGGGAGCCGAGTCCTAATGAGTGCAGCCTCACTCGCCACTCCACAGGCACACTTTGTCTTAGCTACTTTTTACAAAGTTCAGACGTTGTAAAAAGGAAAAAAAGCACCTGTCAACCAAAAAGATTGGCTCGATTGCAGCGCAGGCATCGACCAATCGCCAGCTTACAAGACAGCCAGGACAGGAATCTTCCTCAGATTGATAACAGGATCCATAACTGTGGTGGGGGGTCTAGTGTTGTTGACACTTACTCGTCCCTCTTTGTAACCTTTTGAGAGATGTGTTCACCTTCATGTTGCCTCTCCTCTTTTACACGACACACACACACACACACTCATACACTCTGTCTGGCTCCTCACATCTGTCATGTTGACACAGCTGTGGCTATGAAAGGGAGAACAGGGCTCGGAGCAGTAGAGGCGCTCTATTTTTCTTCACTCAACTCTATGAAAATACACTCCTTTATTTGATGCTAAAAGGAAGCACTCATTAGCTGAAACATGGGCTAAAAGATTAACATGTGTGTGGAGGGCTGTGTAAATCATTTGTCCTTAATAAAGTAGACTTCACTTTTTATTTTACGATTATTTCAGCTGTTTCTTCAAAAAAAAAAAAGACTACTCTGAACAATTCTGACTTTTTATATTTTGAGTAAAATTCCTTCCTAGCAACTAGGCAAGGCAAGTTTATTATTACAGCACCTTTCAGCACACGGCAACCCAAAGTGCTTTACAAAATAAAATAAAAGACATTTAAGAATAAATACAGTGGAAGCACATAATAAAAAGGCATTTAAAAAAAAGGCATTTTAAAAAGCAAAGATAATAAAATAAACACAACAGGTATAAAATACATGGATAAAAGCCAAACTGCAGTTTGAATTTGAACAACTCATCCAAATGCAGCGTCAAAAAGATACGTTTTTCATCTCGATTTAAAAGTATTAACAGTTGCAGCTGACCTGCAGGATTCAGGGAGTTTGTTCCAGATGGACGGGGCATAACAACGAAATGCTGCTTCTCCATGTTTAGTTCTGACTCTTGTAACAGAGAGCAGACCCGTCCCAGAAGACCTGAGACTCCTGGATGGTTCATACTTTTGCAGGAAATCGTTAATATAATTTGGTCCTAAACCATTTAGTGCTTTAAAAACCAGCAGTAGTACTTTCAAATCAATTCTTTGGTAGACTTGAAGCCAGGGTAAAGACTTCAGAACTGGACTGATGTGATCCACTCTTTTAGTGTTTGTGAGGACACGAGCAGCAGCGTTCTGAATCAGCTGCAGCTTTCTGATGGATTTTTTTGTGAGACCTGTGAAGACACTATTACAGTAGTCGAGTCTACAGAAGATAAAATCCTGTTGTGACATTAGTCTTTTAATCCTAGATATGTTCTTAAGGTGATAGTATGCAGACTTAATAACTGTTGTAATGTGACTGTTACATTTCAGGTCTGAGTCCATCACTACACCTAGAGTTCAAGCTTTATTCGTTGTTTTGAAGTCTGCCGACTGAAGCTCTGCGATGACTTTTAATCGTTCGCTCCAAAAACAATAATCTCAGTTTTCTGTTTGTTCAATTGGAGAAAGTTCCTACTCATCCAGTCATTGATGTGCGCAATGCACTTACTCAGTCTTGTAATCGGAGAATAGTCTCCTGGTGAAATTTTTAAATAAATCTGGGCGACAACTAGGTGTCCTACCGGTGAAATGTAAATCATGACACTTCCTCTTCATTTCAGAATCACAAGGAATGTGCTTTGGTGTATAATGGCGCATTTAAGATGTAAAAAGATTAAACACATTTTAGAACTGTATTTATTGAAGTACAACTGTGAAAAAAAGAGAATGTGTTTGCAAGAAATCTTTACAAAATAGTAACTAACTACAGTACAAATATTACTACTAACTTAAAAATAAGACATATATAGTAATCAGAATATCAAGAGCTGTGCAGCTTCAAACAGGGTACAATTGAACAGAAATGTGAAAAATATACAGAGCAAGGTTCACAGTATGAATATGAGGAATTGCTCACATGATGTATGTTCACGCAGCATGTAGTATCTATTGGAGGAGTTCTGAGTTTGAAATGTATGTCCTTACCTTATGGATGGACGTTTTCCCTTCTTTCTCCGGTCCCTCCTCTGAGTCGGAGAAGGTGTAGGCATCGCTGGGGTTGAGCAGGGGAGCAGGGCGCGGCCGGTGCAGCGGCTGGAAGGTGAGCTGGGTGGTGAGCAGGTTGCTGACGGCCCGCAGCGAGGTGCAGGTGTTGGGGGGCAGAGAGGGGTCAGCCAGCAGGTCTGAGATCAGCCCGTGGGCCTCTCCCATCACTGCTATGTCCACCATCACAGTAGTGCCTGATGACTGTAGGGAGACAGAGAAAGGAGAAATGAACATCATTGCTGCTGGGGCTAATGTGAGTTGATGCTAATGAATGATAGCATCTGATAGTGGCTGTGTGCAGCTTATTGGCAGCAGTTGTGAAGAGCAGGTGGGTAAGCTATGTCAGCAGCTCCCATGTGAGGACATAATGTGGTTAACGGAGACATTGGCATCACTTGTGTTCTTTATCCTACAGAACTGAAGGTGAAAGTATGCTGAACTTATACGTTTTAGTTTAGGCACAGAGACAAACTTTTTTAACTCTTTCTATTGGAAAAGTGCAATGACTCCAATACTAATTTTTAAGTATAATCCTAACTTATTCTTAAACGTTCACCAATAAAGGTTTTTACATTCTATTTTACCTCAAATCTACACAGGATTTGGCATCTCAAGCATATTATTTTTGCGTTTCTTATTTTGATTTAGTCTCGATGCTCTCATTAGTGTTGATTTTGGCAACAGAAAGCTAGGAGTTTTGACAAACCGAAGGGACACTACCTACCCAGCGCCAATCCGCATAAGGACAAAGTTAGTGACTAGTAACTAGTTGGAGAACATGGAGCAGCTACTGTTAGATGTGTATTTCTCTGGTTGACAGAAAACATTGAACAATTAGCCCAAGTAGCAAAAGAAGGGATGAATGCAGGTTTGAGTATTTTAATTCAATGCGTCTTTTTACATCTCTTTGCTGGGTTTTGAAATGTGATGCATATCTACAGTACACTCCACAGAAAAATATCAAATTAGTTTAACCCACTGCCTGTGACAAAGAGTAACTTTACAGCAGCTCTAAAGGTTGTTATTCTGACCTCCAGTTGTCTAACCTCTCACCTTGCTGCAGTGAGGATGAGGTGTACTGCATCTACTACAAAGTGCGACGGAGCACACTCTGCAAATACAACTACACTCCTTACTGCTGCTGACTGTTGTTGTACACATTTAACACCATTTATAATAGTAAAACACATATGTGGTTCAGCCTGCAGAAGGACTACTAGTACATTTCCATTTTGCTGATATTTGAAACATACTTTTATTTACAAAAAGTTTTGAATGCAGTACTTTTACTTGTCACGGTTAGAGTATAGTACCCTGCCTTACTGCTACTTTTTCTTAAGTAAAGGCTCTGATTAAATATCTCACTTCTAATCTTTCTTTATTCATACAACAAAGACTTGGTTTAAAACTACCACAGAACACACACAGCCATTTAGCTCAGGGAAAAAACAATATGGAACAAATTAAAACAAATGATACCTATAAACAATTCCCAAACACAACAATAAGTAAGTAAGAAAACAATAGACACTTTACTTTGGATTCCTATCATAGGAGACATATTTAATTCCCCGTGTGGGACTGCGATCCTGCCAAGCTTTGTAGACTGTATTATAATTGTGGTATCACATGCACTGGCACACTTACATCCACTCGCACATCAAAGGCTTGATTCTGTACCTTATATGGTTCCTTTTAGCTCAGAGAAGCAACAACGTGAGGAGGAGTAGGGAGTGGTACATCACAGTTGTAGGAGTTGACATACTTTTAGACATCCAAACAACAACATGAGGTTGACACATGTTCAGAACAGCTGTGCAATACATAATGCTTAATGAATGGCCTCATTAGCACTGTCTCCGCTAGAATCTGACCTTTGACCTCCCCACTCCTGACCCCTGAGACATCTAACAGCCATAATGTGTTCCTGATCGTCTGCCCTAATGCTGTGAAGGCTTCAGCACGCCTTGTTTTTGCAGGGAAAAGTGAAAAGTTCACAACTAGGTCTTAATTACCAGTGCCTAGAGCAGCTCCACAATGACAACTACACACAGGTCTGTCTCGGCTGCCAAGAAATGTATCCAATAGGATCGCGAGTTCCCTTTTCCCCCCGAAGAATGTTATCAGATTTTTCTCCCCCAATGTCCCATTCACTCAGACACCAGCAGCCATGCACCAGACTTGTTCTGTTTACACTAAGTGGCAGGAGGTTTACCCCAACAACCCATGTGTGAACACCTTTCATTTGTCTCCAGCTGTGGGAGCAGTGCTGGTTTCGCATTTTATTTTCCTTGTGGTATCAGATAAGTCACTGTATTTATATTTTTCCTATCGGACTGCAAGATTACAAAAGCCATGTGTTCAGCGTGTGTCAGGGCATTCCTCCACACGCGGTGATCCACACGTGATGATGACGCACATTTATTGATAAACCTCACACATGGTCAGCACTGGGACCGAGCTAATCTCTTTTTAAGATGAGGAGAAGTCCTGTGGGATGGCTGATGAACGTTAATGGACAGACAACTATTGTACTCCCCTCATCCCTCATCCCTCCTCTTCTCCACATCTTTTACTTCTCCTCCCTATCCTCTGATGCATGCTGTGAGGATAACATATAAACACCTGTCTCTCAGCTCATTTACAGGCTGATTTAGGAGCTCACTAAAGAGGGGGTTTAAAAGAATATAGCTGCTGGAGAACATCTGTCTGTCCTCAGCATCTCCAAACACGCATGCGTGCACACACAAACAACTGATGTGCAACTCCTACAAACTTAAACCCCTAGTTTTCATAACACTGGCAATACAAAAGTTAAAACAAAACATATGTTGCAGGATATAGACTGACACTCAAATATATAGAGTATCCAGAGGATGCAGAACTAAGACACACATGTTTATCCGTTTAAGCACTTTCCAAGGACGACTAGAATTGTGTCACCAAGCTTGACTTCCTAATGAACTGGACCAAAGTGCCATACAAGGGGAGGGAATAATAAATGTGCTGGGTGTGACTATGCACTGTGAGTAAAAACGTAATACCTAAAACCTTAGGTTAAAAAATAAAACGCAATGAAAGTTCCAGGTGCATGGTTAGGATTTGAGATTTAGGGACACAGTGGGGACCTTGCTTCCAATGAATTTGTACTATACTTAATTAGCTGAAAAAATGGCAAAACCTGCTCTGCTACAAAAAAACAAGCCCTCTCGTCTCCACATTAAGACCCTCTCACTGAACCGCTCTACAGAATGTGAGATGATACAGAAGAGCTTTTAAAGAAAGCTGGCAGCAGGAAAAGCAGAAAAATGTAAAGTCCTGACCATCACTGGGATGAACTTTTATATGTATCGCTTTAAAAGTTGTGTTTGGCTGGAAGATACATCAAGATGTGCCTAATCTCCCAAAAGTCTGCAACCTAAAACTTGAGAATCATCAATGGACATCCTGCAACAGATCGAATTATAAGTACGTTACGATATCATAACGTTATATAAGCATTTCCTGTCAGGTTAGATGATCTTTTTCATTCATCAGCCACAGCTATCTCCGCAGCAGCAGGCTTCACTTGCTGAGAGGATAGATCTCATAGGAGCCCCATACAGTGACCTCTGTCTGGGAAAAACCACTGTGAGTATCCTAGAAAAAAAGCTTTTGGGCAGATGTTATGATGGAGCTTTTAAAATTCTTGATATTTTTCTGAAAACACCACGGTGCATGTGCTTACCTTGGACACTTCTGCAGTGTTTGTAAATTCTTTTAAACGTCATTAAAATCAATGTATTTTTACATTTCCTGTGAGGCTGTATATTCTGTGTGTTTAATTACTTATTTTTCTAAATGGTCTCCTAAGCATACATTCTCTTTTTACTGCTGCACTACACCACCTTCATAGTTACACACATTCACATCTGGAAACTGTCAACAGCTGTCTGCCACTGGCTCACACTCCTCTCTGTAGAGACTCTTCTGAGAAATACACCCATCACTGTTAGGGAGACTGCATCTCGGAATTGTGTGGAGGAGAGATGGGAGTAACCACTCTAAATTATAGAGAGGAGGCAAAGGTTGCTTCTTTGAACATTGAAACAACAGCTTCCTCGGTTTGAAAATGATTCATAATTCCTCTGTTTCTAAGTGAGACAGATCTTTGTTTTCAAAAGACATATACACACGAACTGTGGCCTTGAAGACAGCTGGCGTCAGCAGGCCTGCACGTTGAGAAAATTACAAATCCCTCTTCTGGTTAGTTAATATATACAGTAAGCACATGGGATGAGGGGCTCACCTGCAATCTACACTGTTTGGTTTGATTATTATGGTCAGTTTTGCCTTTGTGAATAGTGAAAACAACTAGACCCACTGTCCTGATAGAGTAACGCTTAGAAGGAGTTACTTTGACATTTAGCGGAATGACTTTTATTCACTTAATTGTATAGATATAAGAGGATGGTTTTTATTGTAGCCTAAATATAAAGCTACCATTATTAGCCAGTTAGGTTAGCACAGAGACGGGAAACTGTTGAGCCTGGCTCTGACTAACGCTGCATCTTTTTAAAGAAATAGGCTAGCTGTAAGATATTTGAGGCACCTTAACAGTTGGATCATTTAGAGAAATATTTATTAAACATTTTCTGTGCCATTGCAGATTTACTTGTGCTATTCAGGAAGTAATATTTTTGGAGCATGTGGATTCTTTCCTGCTTGCAGTCATTTGATATTTTCGGGGCTGGCCAATCTTTTGCATTTAACTGGAAGGAGGCAGACGGATTTTAAAAGGTTGAAAAGTTCCTGTTTCGGCTGATGCCAGCTCCTGACACACCCACTGATCCTCTCTTAATCCGGCCTCTTTGCCAGCACCGCTGGTCACACTTAAACCACAAATCTGTGAAATATTTGGTCACAAGCCCCCAGCTATGGTTGACATGCTACATTTGACAACACTGATTACCAGCATCAATAAGCAGACTTTATGACTCCTCAACAAGCCAAGCCATATATTAAAGCATGCATGAACAGGCTGTTATGACATCTTACTATGATTAACAGCAGTATGCATGACCAATGGTCTTAACTGCCTGTGTGAACACAGTTTGAAACAGTACGTCAATAGACATGCAATGGATAAGCACCGCGAAGCAGTTCATGTAAACCAAACCAAGGGCCAGTCAAAACAAACCGGCTATCACTCTGAAAAGTGAAACGCTGTTTGTCCACACAGCGTCTCTGTACTCATGGCCCGCTCCGCTGTATGTGCAGCTTCAGTTGCAGTAAGGTGAACCAAAGATTGATGAAATAATATTTGCAAATAAGTCGTGGTGCTGGTTTAGTCTGGATAGTGCAGAAGATTTAAAGACTGTCACTGACTAGAGACATTTTTTTTAAAGGTCCCATGTCATGGTCATTTCCACTGATCATAATGCCATTGTTGAGGTATACTAGAATAGATTTATATTGTGCAATTTTCCAAACTCACATTGGTTTCTCATACAGCATCTCTGTATAGTATGTGTATTCACTCTCTGTCCTAAACGGCTCGTTGGAGCTCCGGCCCCCCCCCCCCCTGTGAGCCCAGTGTGCTCTGATTGGCAAGGACGTTGTGACGTTCGCTGCTCAGTGAGCTGGCTTACTGGTGTGGTTTCCGGGACAGCGCGAAACTCATCCTGAGCACACACAAACACTCACAGCCGAAGTAAAAACAATAAGTGTGGCTTGATATTGAGTAAGAAAAAGGTATATAAACGCTGTGAGAATGGGTCTGCGGAGAGCATTTCTCCGCGATCCCAACTCGTCTATTACCAACCAGGGAGCTCTATGCAAGTCAATGGGACTCCCTGTTAGTTGAAAATGTATGCTAATGGTCCTGGTGTGTGAGGAGCTCCGCGGATTGGTCCATTTTGGTTCCCGGAAGAAACAAATGGAACAAGAGAAATCTCCAACGAGGCGTTCTGGGGCAGCATAGACAGGTATTTTCTGTGTTAGAGTTTTACTCGCTACAGGGTGTACTTTGAGGGTTTTTGACTCTGCACACCGTTTACATGCATAAAAACCTTCATAACACACAAGGGGACGGGTAATAACCAGAAAAGCATGACACCTCTCCTTTAAAACCTTATTAACAAAAGGTTTATGATAACTATACTCAAACCACACTGTGTACACAGTGTACAATGCAGTCGTAAAAATACATTAAATATGTTACATTCTGGAGTGCATAAATCTACAATATTTCCTCTTGTACCCATTTACTTGATGCAAACAACAACATCAAATTCATCTGTTGCAACAACACTGAGTCATTCAAATATGATTATTGTTATTTCTGATGTTTCCACATGTTTTTGGCAAATAGCTATGCAGAAGAAAGATTACATTTGTTTGATGTAACAAACAAACTCTGATCCTCCTGTCTAATGATGGTTATTAATGGTAAACACAACAGAGATCACATTTTTGTAATTTCTGAGATGGTCCACTTTATGCACTTTTAACCCCTTGAGCCTCATCTAAACATACAGCCCTTTTAGCCTCTAGTAAAATACCATTGATATGAGGACTTTTAAAATTGTGCAATGGTGAGAATATAATGTATCCCACCGGAGCGCTAAAGACTGGACAAATGCCTCAGGGGCCTACTCCAGAATGAAAGGCATTTCATTCTCTTAGTAAACACATTTCAATAATGTGAGCAACTCTGGCTCTTTCTAAAGGACAGCACACAGATACATACACTTATTTTACAATTAACCTCCTAAACACATCCTCGCACACTTCAAGAAATATGGGAATGTGCTGAGCAAGAAGCTGGGGAATTTATTATTATTAAAATAATTGTTATTTTTTCTTCGGTTGATTTAATTTATACAGAACCCTCTGCATGTTTCAAAAATCATTACTATGCAGTTTTCTGTTTCAGTGGCAGTGCAGTTAGTGTAATGGCCCTGATTACATCTGTCGAGATGGATTAGTTGAAGAGGAGCCTGGGAGATGATGATGTTCTCTACTTAAAACAACAGAGCAATGATATCACAGCGCAACGGTAACACTAAACTCCGCCGAGACACTGCTCGCTCCCTGCCTCAGCTCCAACAGCCAAAACTACGCCCACCAGCTTCCCACTTCCCAACAAAACACTCACCCCCACCGCGACCCGACAACCCTCACAACCCCTCCGTCAGCTCAGACCGAAGCTGTGCTGAGCCAGGTCCTCGGCTGCAGCCAGGATCCAATTACACGCTATTATATATTTTATTAAAAGGGGGTGTGGGGGGGGGGATCAAAACAAAACAAAAAAGAATAACTGCCTCATTAAAGATTTACTGGGAAAGGTCAAGCCAATTGACCCCTAACATGCAGCCATCTCATCTCCAAAGAGAGGCTTGTTTTTCCCTGAGCATATTTCAGGGTGTTTGATTCCAGAAGAGAAGCCAAGTAAGATAAGATAAAAAAAAATACTGAGTAACAGAAACAGACACAGGCAGACCAGTATGGGTAGGAGAAACGCCAGCATGAAGGACAGGGCAAACAAAAGACATGCATGAGGTAAAACAGATTGCTTTTGCTAGACGATGAATGGGCGAGGATTAACCGCATGATACTAGTGGTTACACATATTATCCAGCAGCAGCAGCAGGCATAGTCACACGTTTTTTTAAACATCTTGCAAACTGAATATGCATGCTATTAATTAAACCAAGTTAAATGTCAATCTATTCATCTGAGAAATGGCACCAGCTTAGAGATGTTATACTTTCTGCACTTCATCAAAAGAAAGAGGCTGAAAACTGCTAATGTGTCCGTATCATTTGTGGCAGATCCAATTATCTCCCAGGCAGAATACGCAAGTCAAACCTGTAGGTAGTCTTTCAGTATTGCCAGAGGACCCCATTTAATTAGAAAATACTCTAGCCTATCATGATAGATCCAACAAGAAAAAGGTCAGTGACCTATTTTAACCTCCTAACCCTCAGTTTGTGAAGAGCTTACAGTGAGTTTAAGAAATCTTCAACATGACGGCAATGTCATGGCTTGTCTGCCTCACAGACCACTCTTCCAGCCTTTCTGTGACTTAGAATAACAGCCACAAGATCCAGGCCTACAAACACTCTTTTCTGCGATAATCTCCCGGGGTAATGTTCCAAAACCAATGTGTTTCCAAGTCGAAAAACAAATATTTAAATAGCTCTTTCCATACATAACTTCAGTGTCAATTCCTGAGCTAAAACATCCACGCATGCTTTGGACAGGGGTGCTCGCGAAGAAAAATAATAAAGATACGTGGTTTGGAATATGAGCTAATGTGTGCATTACTATGACACGCTGAAGACCAAGCAAACATTCTGGTCACTGACTAAAGAGCGGAGTGTGTGATTTACTCTGCGAGGTGCCATGGCACAGCGCAGCGCTACCAGCTTCTCTGACCAACAACCTGGTCCAAAAGAGCAGAGCCAAGGGAAAATAGCCACGAGATGGAGAGTGATTCCAACATAAGCCTCGACTTCTTACACATCTTCTCAGTCTCTGGACTGTTACAGGATTCAGGTGACGAACGCAGAGCACCAATCCAAATGAAAAAAACCTTAATGGCAGCTTAGGGAATGCATCAATCAAAGGATATGTGCTTGCCTACTAACCACACATAACAAATTGATATGAGCCTTGGACGAAGTTTCAAAAGTGTAACCGGCTCTTTGAGAATGTCTCCCCTCAAAGGGGATAATGCTCTAAGGCCGATATTGGGAACAGATATATGAGTCTTAGCATCTCTAGGAAATTACAGTCTGTAATTTAATTTCAAGCCAAATTGTGTGCTGCACTATGATCGCTATTCAAGAAAAATCCCCTGATTTTCACCCCAACCACAACTTTGCAGCATTTATTGCTACCCAAGCACACAGTGTCAGCACAGACGTGTTGCCTATTCATCATTTCTAAAGGATATCCTCCAGATAGTAGAACATGAAGTACAGAACACATACTGCATATGGCCATGCCAAAGCCAAGGGCATTGTTTGTTTTTCCTGTACTACAGAGCCATGCCATGTCGCTCTGTAGCAGCTCAATACACCAGTTCCCAAACACACACGCATTCTCCCCCCGAAAGATGGGAAATGTAATCTCAAAGATGTGTCGGTGTGTGTCTGCCCTCTACAATCTGTGCCCTCTGTGTCCGAGTGCCTCTAGAATCAATTCCCTTGCCTTTAATGGCTCTTGCAGCACCTTACAGCCAGATCACAGACCTGTGTCCTTTAGTCCAACAGAGTACAACAAGGACTCCGGTGGGAAGTGACACCTCAGGACATGCTGTTTAACCAGGGCTAAAATGAGTGGGTGAACGGGCCTGTTAGTTGTTAACATTTCAGCCATTTGCGTCATTTATAAGGTGTGTGTAGGCGAGTGACGGAGATCAGGGAGCTTGTTCCTATGTGTGTGTTTTCCTGTCAGCTGTTTATGATTATTATTGTTAGTGTGTCTCTTCTTGTGTGGACAGCACTAACCTGTGATCCTCGGGAGCCTCTCTTGTGGTCCCACTCCGAGCGGGGGAGCATCTGTGGGAAAGCAGAGACAGAGACATGTTCAAAACCACAGTCAAGAACATCCTGTTTCTGTTTGCGTCCTACAACAGAACTTTAACACCGTAAGGGAGATACACTGCGCTGTGGAGGAGGAGAGGAGGAGCAGGAATGGTGATGCAAAGAGTCTGGGAAGTGTTGGGGGAATGGAAACGATCATAAAAGGCAAAAAAGGAATTTGTCTATTTTTTCCACTTTCCACTAAGCACAGACGTCTAATGCAATTTCACAGTCAGGTTTGGTTTACTTTAGCTCCTTTTCACTGCCCAAGGCCTGGTGGAGGCTGAGGATTTTTACGCTGTCTAATTACCAGCCACAGTGTCCTCCCACAGGCCTCGTAAACGCGCTTTCCACTTTCTTGGGAGTCACCGAAGGCATCAGTGCAGCTCTGTCACTGATTTTCGCGTTGCAGGAGAGCCAAGTCAACATTAACCCCCCCCTCCCTCCCTCCGCCTGTGTTTGGGCTTTCTGCCCCAGAACTGAGAAGCCCTGAGAAACCCAGCGTGTCGCTGTGACAAATTGCTGCTGCACAAACACAGAATTAGAGCCAAATTGATAATTCAGGTGTAATTTATTGTGTCAGAGGAGGTCATTGAATTGTGTCATGCTGTGAGTGAGAACATTAGGAAACAGTGGGTTTCCGTCGCCAGTGTGACGGCCTGTCTGGACTTAGCTGTTGTTTTGTTGAGTGTTTTCCAACTGTGCTGTTTTTGTTTAAAACAAAGTAGTAACTGCTCCTGTGGCCTTATTATAAGGTAGTTTAGTTTGTCTATATTTGACAGCTGAAAACACAGGTATATTTGTGCTGTTTATTAAATATGTAAGTTGACAATTAATCAAGGAAATGTCTTTTCACAGCCTTTAAATACCAGTATTGTAAATCAAGTAAACCTTTTGTATTGCATTTTTGTGATTTCTCAACAAAACTGTGGTGATCCTTACAATAAACAAACAAGCACCACTAAAGCAATCACACACAACACAATGTACACATATTCATTTCCAATGTTTGACATTTGGTTTAAATAAAGAAAATACAATAGATGAGGGGTTTGCCCTTTTTCATCTCCTTCACTTATCTTCCATTTTCCAGCACGTGGACTGCAGCTCTGAAGAGCTTGGATTCTCAGATTGTCAGCATGATAATATCTGTGAGTCACTGTAAAGCTCCATCAAGCGTGCATGTGCCTTCTCATGCATGAAAATAACCATACTAGATGGAAAAGGAAGACAACAAGCAATCAGCTGTGTAAAAGGCTCATGTATGAGATGTAAATGACTGTGAATGATAGTATTAACCAGCCAGTTGTGCTAGTTTACTGCTCTGACGACTGGGTTTTGCTTTTACAGCACCGAGCTGGCAGCAGCTCCTCCATGGTCACGGCAGAGTCCTGCTCCATTAGAAGCTCCTAGTATCAGTGAGGCTCTCCAGGCGCACTCACATAAACAGCCTTTTCGTTCTTACGTAACCCAACCTTTCATCTCCAAGCTCTGAGAGACAGAACCAGACTACATAGAAGTCTACATGGGCCCTTTGATGTGCCAAAACAAAAAACCCACACAAAATCAAGGCTGAGTGTCGCAGATAGCCTCTTGCACAGAGGGACTTTATAGGCCACAGTGGAGTTTGTTTCCTTTGAGACTCGGTCAAAACATTTGATCAACAAATACATGTGGATGGTGTACTACTCACTTACTAAACCAAACAGTGGATGCAGTCTGGTGCCACTGTGTTGAATGTTTGACAAGTGCTGGAGAATTCGTAAATAAAGCTTTGGTGTTAGGGCTTTCAGGCTTCAAACCCCTGGTGTAAGAATAAACAAGAAATTACTGTAACACAAACTATTTATTCACCTATTTTTCAAAGACAAAAAGCAATAATATAAATCACGAGATACAACATAAACCAAGCAGAACTTGACAATGAACCTACAATGTATATATCACTGCAAACAACCACATCAACAACAATACAAATACTAGTACTATACTGTAATGTGTGTTCAGCTAAAACTTTAAGAAACAACACTGACACAAAGCAAGGAAATACATTCGTTATTACCTTGTTTTGCCTCAGGAAGACAGAGGAGATTATACTTAAAACATATGATAGTTTGCTGCCAATATTATGTCTAAAGAGGTAAAACCACACATGAATGATTCCGTAGATGTCTCCTGGTTTTTCATGGACACCCTCCAGGAAGCAAAAAAAACACAGCCGAGGCAGTAACATTTCCAAATGGAATTGTTTTTGTCCTAAAGCTCCAGTGCACCTACTGGGAGAAATAACAACTTTGTAGAAGTTATGCCCTTTGTTTCACCCTCTGCTAGATTCATTATGACGCCCAATAACTAGGAATACTTCAGGTCTAGCAGTGGCTTTCCATGATTTACAGCAATGCTGGTAATTTATAGACTGTCTTTAGGAGATATGTCTTTCAATCACGGCACAACATGACACACTCAATAAGGTCCAACCATTTTTATGGGACTCTCGCTCCATTGTGAATGCATTGTGGAGATTTTCTCTACTTCTTTCCACCCGATTTAAACTGTTGAGAAAGAAACAAATAAGAGGAAAAAAATGATAACAGTGAAGTTCAGCTTACAGCAATAGAAAGTGCTGCCAAGTAAAAGGGAACCTTCCATAAAATAAATTGGAGATGATAAAATCATACTGAGCTCATTTGAACCATTATTTGTGTACCATATCATATTCAACATTCCTCAATTTAGTTTCATTTGAATACTGATACAAATATATTTATAATACAAAGTGATTGTGGCATTGTCTGTATTGAGGTTTTTATCATTTTAGTCAAGTTTGCATTCATGCTCCAACAACATGGAGTGTCAGAGACTGGAAGCTTGATCAATATTTTTTCTACTTTCCACTTGTTTTTAGACATTTGTATTCAATCAATTTACGACTGGAGTGTTACCTCCTAGAGTTGAACTTCCCCTTGTTGCGAAACAATGACTAGACCCCATTACGGTGCCCACAAGACTAGAGAATAACATTAAAGAACTTCAACAGCAATGTTTTTTTTTCCAGCCCAAAGAACTCACTGCCCACATATTTCTTTGAAACTATTTTCCACCTATGAAGCCTGCACAAAGTGAATCACCAAGTCAATGTTCCTGGAAAGACACATTGCTGTTGAACACAAACAAAATTCCTTTCACTGACACTGTATTGGGGTGAAGGTGGAAACTAAACCACAGTATACTGAATGGATACCACAACAAGTAAGAAAGAATCAGAAAATACTGCTATTATGTTTTTTTTATGATTTGGATCAATTGAATCCTTGAAGGAGACTCCAGTCTGAGCAACAAATAGAGTGAGTGTTGTTCATGCAAAAAATCTTCTTTGTCTTGTCCAGGAAAGTGATTAACTGCGAATCTGTGAACGAAGGATACTTCATAGTTGTTACAAAAAGGGTTTTTGCAGGAACCAAACACTAGAAATTGACCTTCACGTGCCTACCAGGACAGATATAGAGACTGATGAAACCTTATATAAGTTGAAAATGAGATTTAGCATCCTTTATTTCATCACACAAGGACACTGGATTTTGTCCCAAATATCTTACAAAAAGAATAGAATAGTTTATGGATAAGGGGATGTTTACAGATTAAGATTATAACCTGTGTGTTCATACAAGAAACCCTGTCTCTTACTGTCCAGCATGATGACAGTGTGTTTAAATGTATATGCAATAAGGTAAATAAAGGAAAGGATACTCCCAAGTAGATGATGTGAAAATGTCATATGAAGAAGCCAGCCAAAACATGCCTGCTGCCCTCTGTAAATGAGCACTCTCATGACTCAAAACAGTTGCAGCCGAGTAAACTACCTGCCTGCCTCAGAGTGTTAAGAGGGCAGCAGCGTGGATGCCAGTAAGCAGCCGGGCCCTGTCCACCACCATGGCTCCGAGCCACAGCCCACAGCAAGCTGCCGTGCCTCTGAGGTGCTGGGTAAACACCACGGTGTCAAAGCACAAACAAACTACTGGAACCTGCCTGTTGTTTGACTTGCTCCCGCCAGTAACCAGTTGAGAACCACTTCCCCTGTGGGTGTGAAGTGGTGGGAGCTGCAGCACCCAGAGAGGGGCTCCACTTTCACACTGATCATCCTGAAGCCTCCCAATGAGCCCCTGTCATCGACTTACTACTGAGCACTTTTCTAAATCTGTCTGGAAAGGGAACCGGAAACTGCCTCGTCCTAATATAACCCAGTGATAACTGCTAGCGATGTTTCTTAATCATTCACTCATGATCGGGTCTTCATTCTTCTTTGCCTCCTTCATTCTTTCTCTGTCTCCCAAGTCCTATTTTGTCCCTCATTACTGGCTTCATATGAGTGGAGTTGATGTGTGTCTCCTTGGATGTTCAGTATCTATGTTAGCTTGTTAGTGCACTGGATTTCCTGGGACCCAAATTCAGAGTCCATCGAGGACATAACACCAAGTGCAAAAAAGAGATCTCGTGGTTTAGAGGAGGGAAGGAGCAAAAGAGAGAATGCTGATCTTACAGTATGTTTGGGATAATTAAGGCAGTGTTGAAGGGCCAGCAGATCAGACTGGAGGATTTCCTATCAGCTTGACCCAAGGGTTTCATGCACCACCTCCCTGTCCAATTAAATTCACTATGCTCTCACTTACAATCGGGTCTGCAAAGTCATGAATTCACACATCTGCTTACTTAAGTATGTGCACACACACACATACATGCACTATGTCTCACACTTTCTGCCTCAAGGTCTTGGAATATTCTTTTACTGATTCCGCCTTTGTTCTTTTATCACTGCTCTCTGTCAAAGATATTCTGACGTATGCAGTGCTTGACTCAGAGAACCCCGCACCCACTTGAAAGTAGGTCAGATTTGACTCTTACTATATGAAGGCTTCAGAATTACAGCGGCTTAGCCGTGAGGACACCGTCAAAGCAGCAACCAAAGATCCTTGTTCTCA